ATGATCCTGCAGTCCACACCAGCCTGAGAGCTGTGACCTTGAACACTGAGCAGGTGGCAGCTTCAAGGTGGCCGCCACCCACAGGCCTGGAGAGGGGGAGGGAAGAAATCTGTATTGGGAGTGGGTGACCAGTTTCTGCAGCTCAGGATCCTCCCTCTGTTGACTTCCAGACCCCAGAAATCTGTACTGCAGAACCTTCTAACGCAGCTTTCTCCAAAGACAGCAACAAAAACCATTGAGCCCTTTTTTACGTGTTTTATTTTCTCTTTTTCTCTTAGAAGATGCATGATACCTTAAGAATAAACGTTTTAACTTAATATGGTCATAGTGTCTGGGATCCTATTGCCTGTTTTCATCACAAGTGCTTCTTGTTCAAAGCCTGGTCAATTCCAAACCAATGACCTCTGTGACTGGCAAGACCGCCATGAAAAACCGTTAACAGGGAAATACCACAGACCTAGCTGAAAGTCAACCAAGGTCATTTACACATTCTTGAAATTTAAACAGAAAGACAAGTTACATATCAAAGAACTGCCCTAAATCAGGCTACTAGCTTGTGGCTCCGAGACAGTGAGTAGCTGAGTAGCTCTGGACTGCCGTCAAGTTATCATATACAGCTCTTTTTTGTCTTTTTAAAGAGAGAGAGAGAATTTTTTTAATATTTATTTTTCAGTTTTCGGTGGACACAACATCTTTATTTTATTTTTATGTGGTGCTGAGGATTGAACCCAGCACCCCGTACATGCCAGGCAAGCGCATTACCACTTGAGCCACATCCCCAGCCCCATATATAGCTCTTAAAAGAGAAAGGGACAAAAGAAAGAACAGAATTCACTCCATGATAAATAAACACACGAAAAATGCAAGCATTTCCCAGGTTCTTCCAGTGTAAGAGAATGTGTAGAGAAAACCTTATTACCGCCCTTTGCCCTGAACTGACCGAATTCTTACTGTGGATTCTACAGAGCTAAAGAAAATTCCCCCAGTTGGCGGAGTCTCAATCTTTAGGAGAAAACTTGTTCATCCTCTGATCCAACTCTTTAATCCATCATGGTGCTCAGCAACTTGAAATAATTGCCTTTCTTTTTTTTTTCTACCACATTTTTTATTGGTGCATTATAGTTGTACAGTTCATGGGATCTGTTGTTACCTATTCATACATGCACACAATATAACAATATAATTTGGCCAATATCTCTCCCCAGCACTTCTCCCCTCCCTCCACCTCCCACCTCTTAGTCCCTTTACTCTACTCATCTCCCTTTGCTTTTTAGATCTCTCCCCACCTTTTGTTTTCCTTTTTCCTCTCTAGCTTCTGCATATGAGAGAAAACATGTGACCCTTAACCTTCTGAGTTTGACTTATTTCACTTAACATGATGGGATCTAGTTTCATCCAATTTTCTGCAAATTCCATAATTTCGTTTTTCTTTATGGCTGAAAAAAACTTCATTGTGTATATATACCACATCTTCTTTATCCACCCATCCATTAATGGACGCCTATACTGGTTCCATGGTTTGACTATTGTGAGTTGTGCTATTAAACATGCATATGCACGCTATCATGGTAGTAAGATGACTTTAACACTTCAAGGTAAACACTGAGAAGTGGTGTAGCCTAGTCTTTTGAGGGCCTCCATACTGATTTCCATAGTGGTTGTACTAATTTACAGTCCCACCAACAGTGTAAAAGTGTTCCTTTTTCTCCACATCCTCTCCAGCATTTATTTGTATTCCTGATGAATGCCATTGTGACTGATATGAGATGAAATCTCAGTGTAGTTGTGATTTGCATTTCCCTAATTGCTAATGACATTAAACATTTCTTCCACTTTGTTGGCCATTTGTAATTTCTTCTGAGACATGTCAGTTTAATTCATTTGCCCATTCACTAATTGGGTTACTTGATTTTTTTTGGTGTTAAATTTCTTGAGCTCTTTATATGTCCTAGATATTAGTCCTCTGTCAGAAGAGTAGCTAGCAAAAAATTTTTTCCCCATTCTGTGGGTTCTCTCTTCAGATTCCTAATTGTTTCCTTTGCTGTGCAGAAGCTCCCATTTATTAAATCTTGGCATTGTTTCATGAATTTTAGGGCTCCTATTAAGAAAGCCATTGCCTGTGCCTAAACACTGGAGTGCTGGACCTGTGTTTTCTTCTAGGAATTGCATCATTTCTGGTCTAGTTCCGAGGTCTTTGATCCATTTTGAGTTGATTTTTGTGCAGGTGACAGATAAGGGTCTAGTTTTATTCTTCTACATATGGATAATCAGTTTTGCCAGCACCCTTTGTTTAAAAGGCTGTGTTTTCTCTAGTGTATGGTTTTGGCACCTTTGTGAAGGATCAGACGACTTTAGATATGTAGGTTGGTCTGTGTCTTCTATTCTGTAACATTAATCTATGTGTCTGTTTTTATGTCACTACCGAAGCAATTGCCTTTCATGTCAGAAGTGGAGCTTCATCAGACACTAGAGCAGATGCATCCCACTTTTTAAGGACACAGTAGTGAAGGGACAGGATCATAGCTCTTTTCTTCCTTCCTTCCTTCCTTTCTTCTTCTTCTTTTTTCCTGATCATAGTGTGGCATATGCTCATTGTTGAGAAATACAGAATGTGGTTTTTATTTTTTCCTTGTATTAAATATTTTTCATGTCATGAAACACTTTCTGAAAATCTCATTTTAATGGCTTCATAATATGTCATTTTAAAAGTCATTCCTTTATGTTTAGACATGTGTTTCTTTTTTTATTTTCTATTTTAAAGTCAGTGCAATGAACATGTTGCACATTAACCTTTGTCCACCTTTCTGACTAGTATCATTGGGACGTGTTTTCCTGGATTAAAAGGAAAGTCAATTCATTTTTAAAATTCATGTTGTTAAGGTGCTTATGATAGTGTGCTGCTGCTTTCTAGGACTGCATATGATGCCTCTATATAGAAAATAAAATGGTGAGCCATATTTGTTTTGAATTGAGTGTCAGCATAAAACAAAAAAGTTAAGATAAAACTCAATAATAAATAATTTGCATGCCTGTAATCCCAGTGGCTGGGGGCGGGGGGGGGGGGCCGCTGAGACATGAGGATCACGAGTTCAAAGCCAGCCTCAGCAACCGTGAGTTGCAAAGCAACTCAGTAAGACCCTGACTCTAAATAAAATACAAAATAGGACTGGGAATGTGGCTCAGTGGTCGAGTGCCTAAGTACCCCCTGCCCCCCCCAAAAAATAATTTGTAGCAATGGATCGAAACAAGGGTTTTAATATACTGCTAGTGAAAGTATAAATTGGTTAAAATTTTTGAAAAGCAGCTCAAACTCATGCATCAAAATTATTTGGAAATTATTCGAAAGATGAAAAAAAAAGTGTCTAAAGATGCTCAGGAGTTTAAAATGTCCAAAAACAAAACTGGAAACCATCTGAATTGTGTTTAAAAATACGAGAATGATCAAATTATAGAATAACCATTTGAAAGATTATTCTGCAGCCAATGAAATTATGTTTATGAAAATTTTATAACTTGGAAACATGCTTACATTATAAGAATATATTGACAATCCATATATAATTTTGTATCCTTTTTCTCTTATACTAAGAAAAAAGTCAAGATACTAAATTATATACACATTGTGAATCTGTATGTGTAATAAAAATAAGCATAAAATAAAGAACTAATATTATTGAGTGAGGTTCTGTCAGGCAATTGTTCTAAGTACTTTACATACATATTAAATTCTTTACTTTTTTATAACAATTTATAAAGCAAACACTATTAAAATATCCATTTTTATAGATTAGGAAACAGAAACCCAGAAAGCTTGTATAATGAGTCCAACATCACATAACCTCCTGAGGTTAAAGTATGGGCAGTCCACAGTCTAAAAATGTACTAGGAAACAGTTCCCCAAAATATTGACAACAGCTGCCTCTGGGTAGTTGGGGAAAAGGAGCAATTACATTTGTTCTACTTTTTTCCCACTTAAAAAAATGTAATGATGAAAAATTGCACTTTGAAAGGATAAAATTAATCTGAATTCCTATATTAGATTTAAGCAGAAATATTATTTTTTTTCTCCTAAACTGATCACAGAATCCCATTGTTTTACCACCATGAACCCTGACCTTCGCTCTGCCTGTCAATTCTCTTTCTCTACAAAAGAGAAAATTAGAGCCTCTCTGCTTAAGGGGAATGGATTGAAGACAGGTTTTTTTTTTTCATGAGGTGCTAAGTTTCCGCGTCGCATTTGCTAAAATCCAGGTTCTTCTGTTTCATATCAGACTCTTCTCTACACAGAAGAGACATTTAAGCACCAGAATCTCACACACCTTCACAAACTAACAGAGTAGCGGTCAGGTCAGGTGGAGGAAGAGGGCAGGGGACTGAAAGGCGAGTCACGCCTCGGGTAAGCGGAATGTGATGTTTGCTCTTGGAACTACAGGGCTCCTTTGGTGTTGCTTTTTTCTTTTGTTTGTTTTTCTTTGTTCTTGTTCTTGTTTGGTTTGTTTTGCTTTGGTTATACAGCTGATGCCTGCTTGGTATGCTAGGGAGAAATGGTAGATGCTATGATGATTGTGAATGGAACAAATGGCACTGTGTTTTATCTAAATGTAAATTTTAAAACTAGAGACAACAAACCCATACTGAGGGCCGCTTAGTGACTCCAGGATTTCATTTTCAGACGCATTGAGCCCATCAGTCCACCTCAGACCTCTGGTTGGCTCCCTTTTCCCTCATTTCTAAGGACTACAATTCCCGGTCCGCAGACGTCATCGCGCACGCGTCCTGGCGACCTGCGCCTACATGTCCCAGAGAGCCTAGCGGCTACGCTGGCGCGCGCCTGCGCCCTCACTCCCCTCTCGCTTCTTACCCGGGTTTGACCTACAGCCACCCGGGAGAAGATGGCCGCCCCAACAGCCTCCAGGCTCTCACAGCAGGTGAGAGAAGCCAACAGGAGGTTGTCCCTTGGGGTGACCGGTACCAGCTGCTGAGCGCCAGGGTGCGGGGCCACTGCTGGGGTAGTTTGGCCGCCGCTCAAGGTCGTGGGGCCTGACGAGCGCGGGCGATGCAGGCAGGCCCTCATTTCGACCCCGTGGACACCAGCGGGTTAGTGGGCGCGGGGCTGCGCGAGCTGTGACCTTGGAGTCCGCCGAACACTGCCCCGGGAGGCCCCTGGCTGGAGGGGACCGGAGACCGAGACCGGGCTTCCCGGGCTCCGAGGGCTGCTTGGCGGCGGCGGTGGCGAAACCTGTCAGGGGTCACTGGTAATGCTCCGGAATATTCGCAAAGTACCTTTCATTTTCGTAAAGAAAAATGACAGAAACGCCTAAACGACCCGTCCTTGGCTGCTCAACAGTAAGTGTTGAGCTCGGAACCGACAGAGTCAAACAGGACGGAGTTGGGGAAAATGTGTGCCTCTTGTGCTGTGTCCATCCTGGTGCTTTACATACGAGCACCCTTTGCAGCTTAGGTAATTTTTCCATGAGCGCTAAAAGTCTTTTAATCCTCAGAGAGAATTCTGACATAGTGCATTCCTGTGCTGAAGAATATGAAGGTGACCTGTGCCCTTGCAGGTGATTTTTTTAAATCTTGGATTCCAGCTCTGGCCTTTGATGGCCAAGATGCCAACTGAGAACTAGGGCCTGTTGTCATATCAAACCGGTACAATACTCAAATAATGAATATTTATTATTTATACTATAATACTCAAATAATGAATATTTTTAGATAGCGTTTGGATTTCCGAGAAAGTATATTCGTGATGACCAAAGTCCTCCCACTTTATGGTAGTTCTTCCCAAGGGTGTGGTAATACCAGTGCCAAAAATGTTAAAGTTTTTTGAAACAGTAGCCCTCACTGAACGTTATTTTTGTATCTCCCCCGTCCTTCCCTTGCGTCCTCATTAGTGTGTGTAAGCCTTAGCCCATTCCAACAAACTGGGATGTTAGTGTGAAGGCAATTTCCCAAGCTATTTGAAATGATTGGTGGAATTTACTCCCAGGTAATAAAGAGCGGTTCACCCTGTGTAATTTTTGTGATAATACAGAGAAGCATATGAAACTAATTGTTTAGAAGTCATTAAAAATATTTTTATTATTGAGTTAAATACAGAAATTTTCGAGTAACCTTGTTTGACCCATTTTCCTTGATTATTTTAAAGGTGCGATGCTTCAGTACATCTATGGTCAGACCATTTACCAAGCTTGTGAGGGTATGTTAATTTATATTCTTTTGTAATGTAAAGCAGATGAAAGTATGTGAGTCAAATAGCAATACAGTTAGGGTATGGATTTCTGTGTATTCACTGCCCAAACCTTTCTTTGCATAGTTTGTGGTTCCCAAAATGTGATATGTGTTTGATGTGGGCAAAGGATTGATGTTGAGTGCTTGCTATGTGATGAGCCTACACATAACCTTTAAATATAGTAACTTTTTTAAAAAATTCATGTTTTTCCAGTTAACCCTCCAAAATAGGTATGCCAGCTTTTATTTGCTTTTTTGTAATGCACGAAACAGATCCAACAAAATAAAATGACACACCATATTCTCACAGTAAGTTACTATAGGAGTTGACATTAAATGGAGGTATCTCAATTTCTGTTGCAGCTCCATGTGCTTCCCTTCACCATGGCTAGTAAGGGATGGTCACTACTTATACCCTTGCTCTGCACTAAATCAGCACAAAGGGACTACTCCACTTGGCATCAAAACATCTAACCATTTCAAAGATCTGCCAGCCCCTTGCTTTCAATGCAGAAGTAGCCTAATTGACCTCTGATGAAGAGAGAGACCTGTGAGTGACAGAAAAGTAATGCCAACAGCTCATAGTAACCCTGTTACCAGCTGGTAACAACCTGACTGCATTTTCATGCGTTACTTTAATTCTTTCTTTAATTATTAGTTCTTATGTGACAGAAGATAGATTCACTAACAGGGAGCAGGAACAGATCTCACCTTACAAAAGAACTGGGCTATCTAACCTGCTCACTCCACTCAACAGTGAGCCAATCCCCTCCTTGGAAAAATAGCATCAAAGATCAAAATACCAGTGTCTTTAGTGAACCACTGTTTTTGAAAAGTGACTATTACACCCCCACCAGCCTAAATCTCTCAAAACTATTAGGAAGAATCTTATTTACTCTTCATGCAAGAACTTCCTAAAACTTCTGTAACAGTGATAAGGAGTAGTTGGTTTTCCCATTTTACAAAGGGGGAAATTGAGGTTTAGGGGAAGTTTGCCTAAAGTTTTAGAACTGGTCAGCGTGGTTTTAGAACTGGTCTGAAAACTAAATCATTCTTATTCAGAGCCTGGCTTTCCTGCTACATTCATAGCACCACTAAGCACATGCGGTCATATGTTGATGGTAGCAGATCATATGTAAAAATGTCAAACCTCAGGTGATTTGTGAATTAGCAAAGGGCTCTATTAAATTGAACATTGATGGTGAGGCTCTGTAAGCAGAAATTTATAATATGTCTTAGTGCTTTTTTTCCCCTAGCTCCAGTATATTCAAACTGCCTTCCATCAGAGTTACAAATCTCCCATGTTTGGAACTGAACAGCTACTGAGTTCAAGGGAATCATAAGTACATTTTTAAATTAATTGGTTTAAAAGAAAGTTTAAAGTAGTTAAAATAACTAAATTATATGAGGTAGAGCTCAAAGGGTCTTTAGACACTATGTCTTCCCAACCCCTCATTTCACGAGTGAAGAATTAAACACTCAAAGATAGAGGAACCTGACTAAGAAAATATTCCTAATTTGAGAATTGCCATTTAGAACAGCTCTTTGGTGACATAATTAAATTGTTTTGTATTATGAGATGAATTTTTAAAATTATAAATGTTTAATTCTGCTTTATAGTATAATATCTTAATTGATTTTCCTTCTTTCTTATGTCTACCCTTTTGTCTGAAGCCACCTGTTCAGGTATACGGCATTGAAGGTCGCTATGCCACTGCTCTTTATTCTGCTGCTTCTAAACAGAATAAACTGGAACAAGTAGAAAAGGAGTTGTTGAGGGTAGCGGTAAGTGGTTTTCTTGTTTATTGCATTTTTAAGTTCCTTTAATTATTCAAACAAAAACATTGTTCTTCAGAAACATATTGTTGGTAATAATATTGGGTTTTGTTTCCTAAAACTATTTTTGTGGAGGCAGGCAGACACATATAAGAATATTCACATTAGGTACCAAGATTTCCAGATGAGAAAAGATAAAAGTGGAGCTGGGGTTATGGCTCAGTGGTAGAGCGCTCACCTTGCACGTATAAGGCCCTGGGTTCGATCCTCAGCACCACATGTAAATAAATAAAATAAAGTTATTGTGTCCAACTACAACTGCAAAAAATAAAATATATTTTTTAAAAAAAGGTAGAAGTATAAAGTCAAAATGTAAGTTAGTAACTTAAGAAAAATCATCATTTCAGAAGAGAATTAAAAGGTCGCCTTTTGAAAAAAATGTGCTCATAATACAGGTGTTTTCAAAATAGTCTTATAATATGTTACAACTTTGTTTTACTATAATTTATTTTTCAGATGAAGTCTTTTCATGGATTTTTTGTTTTTATTTTTTTAGTTATTGATGGACCTTTATTTTATTCATTTATTTATATGTGGTGCTGAGAATCAAACCCAGTACCTCACACATGCTAGGCAAGCACTCTACCCACTGAGCCACAACCCCAGCCCTTTTTCTTGGATTTTAATTATTTTGTTCCCAAGACATGAGAAGAGAGCTGAGCAGAGCCTTGGGGCAGCAGAGTTAGGAGGGGAGCAAGAGCATCCCAGTGAGGTGGAGAGCTGGCTGCAGAGGAGGGAGGCCACCTTGGAAGCTTATCTTCACTTTTATTTACATAAAAGAAAAGAATAAACTGAATTTCAAACCTAGTGATTTAAGCCAGAGAATCTGTGCTTTAAGTTTCAAGTCTAGAAGTTTCTAAACATTTTGTTACTTTTCCTCTCCTTAGATTTTCTAGCTGCCACCTCTAGCAGTCAGGTCCACATTAAGAGAGGGAAGGAGAGCCAGGCACGATGGCACATGTCTGTAACCCCAGTTTCTCAGGAGACTGAGACTAGAGGTCCGTAAGTTCAAAGCTAGCCTCAGCAAAAGCAAGGTGCTAATCAACTCCGTGAGGCCCTGTCTCTAAATAAAATACAAAAAGGGCTGGGAATGTGGCTCAGTGGTTAAGTGCCCCTGAGTGCAATCCCAGGTACCAAAAAAAAAGAAAGAAGAGAAAATAGACAGTCTAGTATGTAGTCTCCCCAGAGAATTTTTTTTAATTGTATGCTTAAAAGAAATTTTCTATCTTCTAATCCATGTATTTCTAAAGATTTTTATTTTGTTTAGGGAAAAAACCTCATAGGCTACTTGTATAGAATAATACCTATATTCTACATTAATCATAATACCTTACAAGTATTATTTTTAATATTTATTTTTTAGTTTTAGATGGACACACTATCTTTATTTTATATTTATGTGGTGCTGAGGATCAAACCCAGTGCCTCGTGCATGTTAGGCGAGCACTCTACCACTGAACGACAGCCCCAGCCCCACTTTACAAGTATTGTTCTATGCCACTTATTTTGTTCACTTTTTGTTTTGAACTCTTATTGTAACTTTTGTCCTAACAGACAGAATAAGTTTAGCTCTGTATTCCTTCCTTGATCCAATTGTTGCAAATATGCTTAAGGTCTTAGCTGGTCCTCTTAGATTTCACAGAGCCAGCAGGCTGAACCTCCTTGCAAGAGCCACATCAGGGGAGGGTGTCAGAAACACACAGGATCTACAGAGGCCTTTTTGGAGGTGACAGTTACATCTGCTGCTTATCAGTTATGCCATTATTAAGTTCATATTTACAACAAAAGGAATGACCTGGGTCATGGACATTAGAATGATTCTGACCCAAACCTGAAAATCAGTCGTGACATGGAGGAAAAGGAGGGAGGTAGTTACCATAAGACCCTTTATAAATGAAAATTAGCATTTGGGGGGACACTGAGGGAAGAAGTATAGGACTATCCAGTGCCATTCTTAACTGTCCAGCCCTGGAAGATCCACCAGAAACAGTTTCAAAAATAGATACCACGGATTCTAAGATGCTTTTTATTGGAATACATGTTCAGTTTTTGTTGACAGGGGTGTCCTTTCTGTGGGCCATTCCAGTGGAAATCTGTATACTGGATGGCAGTATGTGACAAGCAATATGGCTCAGAGACAGGATTCTGGCCCAAATCCTGGGCAGAAGTATTGGCAGAGTAATTGGAAATCACATAGAGATGTGTAACTCAAAGATGCCTGCCTGGAAAGAGTGGTTGTTGGTTCATTGGAACTCTTGTCTGTAACCAGAGCAGCAAGGTGCTAGAAGCTGCATCTGTTCACTAACGAAAGACATTTGTCATTGAACAAAATGGGGCCATAGTGGTCTCCCATGGTCATTGCACTTCCATGTTTGGTCCATTCTCCCTTCCAGACCACTGAGGCTGCCGTGGAAACACTAGAGACTTCTCACAAGTTGGGTTGATCCTGTGAGCTCTGTTAAAGCAGAGCAGAAGAATCAGGACCTGCCAGGATGCAGCCCCTCTCAGGGAATGGGAGAGAGGCCTGCCCTGCTGTCGGAGCACCTGATTTAGGTCTGCCTTGGAGGAAAAACTAGAGCCAGAGTCTCACCTGTATTAAATACATTAAGATAGGAAGTAAAGTGAGCCTTTGGCTGCTTAATTTTTTATAATCTTTCTTAGAAAACATATATTTCAGAAACATCATAAGGTATTTTTAAATACTTTCCAAGGAACATCATTTTATCTTATATAAAACCGTCATACAGCATATTCCTGAAGTCATTTGGAGAAACATATTATATGATAAATTTGTCTTTATACGTGCTTGTAAGTGCTGATTTTTGTAAGTCGTAAGAAAGTGAGTATGTGGCTGGGTGTGGTAGTACACGCTTGTAATCCTGCTCCTTAGGTGACTAGACAGGAGAATCAAAAGTTCAAGGCCAGCCTGGGCAACTTAACAAGACCCTGTCTCAAAAAATGAAAAGGGTTGGGATGTAGTCCAATAGTAGAGAATCCCTGGGTTCAATCACAAAAAATACCACAAAAAAAAAAAAGAAAGAAAGAAACACAGCAGGAGGGAAAGAAAAAAGAAACTGTGGCATCTGAGATCATTTGTGCTGTAAAGAATTAAGTTATCTTTTGGTACTTTCAGCAACTCCTGAAGGAACCCAAAGTAGCGGCTTATATTCTGAATCCGTATATTAAGCGTTCCATCAAAATGAAAAGCCTAAATGACATGACAGCAAAAGAGAGGTTTTCCCCCATCACGTCTAATCTGATCAGTAAGTATTGGGACTTCTTCCCCTATATTCTCTTAAAACGTTGCTACTGGAAGTGTGCTCTCTGGACTCAGAGCATCACCATCACCTGGAAGCCTATTGGCAGTAAAGAATCTCTGGACCCATCCCAACCTGCCAAGTCCAAATCTGCATCTTAACCAGCTTCCCAAGCAAATTGTGCATTAAGTTTGAAGAGCACAGTCTAAAGGATACTGAGATGTGCTGACAGGGAGTAGTTTCAACCCACGGAGGATACCTGTGGTTTATGGCCATATCAAAATAAAAAGTGTTATCTGTTGAGTGTAGACAGTATGTTCGCTTGGGAGTTAGAATCTGTAACATAAGCATGAACTTCAGATTGCAGCCTGGTTGCAAGAGGGCTGCTGCAGATCCAAGTGGGGGAGACCACAAACACACAGCACTAATTTAATGCTTGTCAAGGCAGTCTTTTTTTTTTTTTTTTAAGACTATGTACTGAAATAAAGTATATTTGAATATACTTTTAAATAACAAGTTGTCTTCATTCATGTTCTTAAAGGACATGGAATATGTTTTAAGGCCACAAATCAAAGTTTGCCTTTTGGGTGAATATAGGTTACTGAGAAAGCTGTTAAGTGTCATGTCATGTCACTGAGACTCTTTCACTTTCCCAGACTTGCTTGCTGAAAACGGCCGCCTAAACAATGCCCGTGGCATCGTTTCTGCTTTTTCTACCATTATGAGTGTACACCGTGGAGAAGTACCTTGCACAGTGACCACTGCATCTGTAAGTAGTGGGTTGCTGCTGCTGCATTTGCCTTAACAAACGGGAAATCAAGAAATTGGGGAAGGTGCTGTCACTTGGAGGTTTATTGTATCCTTGTTATGAGCTTCTGTGAACCTCTGCTTTGGAAGGGCCAATGTTGATTTCACTAGTGTTTCTATACCAGTGATTACTCATAAAGACTATAGACCGGTTTAATGTAAAGAACGTTGAAATATGTTAGAAAATTGTGGTTTAAGTTCCATTATAAGTTTGAATTATGCTATTAAGTGCCATTAAGTATGCTGTTAAGTAGTTTACTTAAACTAGAGTTTCTAATCTTTCAACTGATGTGGCAATGAATGGGAAGGGGTAGGGTGGATGGGCCCTTGGACTTTTTAATCCCCAGCCACCTTTACTGAACCCTAGCGTATGCCATGTACTTTGTACTTCATTACTTGATTCAATATCAGAAGATCCATATGAAGTAGAAGTATAATTGTGTTATTTTACAGAGGGAAAACTGAAGCCCAGGGTGATTAACTACTTTGCCCAAAGTCACACAAAGTGTGACCTGAATTTAAATGCAAGCCTCTTTCAGAATCCCCGTTCCTTAAGCTACACTGTGTTACCTCCCCAGAAGTAATTTTGTTATTGTCTTAAATATGTATTTCCTTCCTAACTTAGTTTGGTTCATACAGTCTAGGGGGCTTAAACATCAGAAGAATATGGTAGATTTACTTGCAGTGAACAGCACTTGACCTCATCTAGATCAATATTTCTAGTGTTTAAAAGAATGCTCCAACTCTCTAAAAAAGCAGAGTTTCAAAGAGAGGCGTTTTGGTGCGTATTTGTAGTTCAGTACATAATTGGTGCTCCAAAAACATGTACCTGGCTCAAAGCAGTCCCAGCTGGGATGTTCACAGGGAGCCACACAGTTGAGGCAGTCACTTGTCCCCATAGCCATGCACTGCTGCAGACCGTTCTTAAGTGCAGACAAGGGTATGGTTTTGTAAAGCATGCTTAGTTTGCAAAAGTATCTTGGACCAGCTGTCACTAAGGTTCTTGATGTTTGTAGACCTGGGTAAATAAGTTTCTGCTGTTTGAGAAAAGTTGTGTTTTTATTAACAAGTGCACAGGCTTTAGTTAGGAACACGTAGACTGGTTGCAAATAGTGGTGTTAATCTTCACTTGGCTTTTAGGCAAGTGTCTTAACCACTCTGACCCTCAGTTCTCTCAAGGCTAAAGTTAGACTAATAACCACAGGCCTCACTGCCTTGTCCAGATTACGAGAGGTGGTGGGTGTAAAGTGCCCGGCCACTCAGTACACATCTCAGTGGAAGGTGTGGACGGGTTTCAGAGGTCTCCAATCTCAAAATCAGCAAAGAGTGTTTTGATGAGACACTGACATACTTCACCACCATCACCCAAAGATACTATTAGGTCTTTACGAAGATGGAAGGAGTTTCTGCCAGCTCTTGGCTGGGGAGGTAGGTTTGTGATAACAGAGGCCCTTCCTGCAGCAGCCTCTCTCATTCTCACCTCATTAACTGGGAGTAGAGTTGAGGCTGAGAATAGGGAGTGCAGCCTGGACATTTGGGGTACTTGCTCTATACATGCAGATTGCAGAGTTATGCTGACCTCAGGGACAAGCCAGGTATTCCTGGTTCTCTGTGAGGTTGAGGAGTGGAGTGGTCTGCCAGAGCTGCTGGTAGCCATGGACCTGCGGAGACAGTGATAGAGCTGGGAAGTTGAAAGCCCACAGAGCCAGCCTCACCCGCAGCTATTCCTGTCAGGAAGTGATAGGTGCACACCCTGACCACAGGGCTGCCAGAGGAGAGACCCGCATTTTCTGCTTTGCTGGACTGGACTTGTCCTTCGTGGGTGGGACAGGAAGGGAACAGTGTTTATGGACAGTAATTGAAGTGCTGAACATGAGCTTTGCCAGGGTTCTTGTGTGGCAGGGCCCACGTGCCTGAGCCAGCAGACTGACAGGAGTGTGTGTCCCCAACAGAGTTCCTAGTATTTAAGGCAGGAGATTACAAGGCAGGTCTTGGTAATTGTGCTCACTATTTTTTTTTTTTTTTCCTTTTAATTATGGAGGATTCTGTAATGCTTTGTCCACATTTAATGGATGATTTGTTCTTTTTCAGCCTTTACCTGAAGCTGTTCTCTCTGAGTTAAAGACAGTCCTGAAGAGCTTCCTAAGTCAAGGCCAAGTTTTGAAATTGGAGGTTAAGGTAGGTTTTTAATTATATATGGTATGTTTCCTCAGGTTATTCAAATCTTAAAATGGCAGCAGAGAGTATTTATGAAAAGTTAGCTCTGTAAGTGTATTTTAAATATAAATGATTATCTGATTCCATGCATAATTTTACATCCACATTTTTCTAGATGTAATATCTGTATAGCACATTAAGTCATTTCAGAGCACTTTTCATTTCTCCAAGTGATTAGTGAAATAATGTCCTTATGTTTTCATGTGTCTGGTTTGTTTTCTTTCCTAGACTGACCCAGCAATCATGGGTGGAATGATTGTCCGTATTGGAGAGAAATATGTTGATATGTCTGCAAAAACCAAGATTCAAAAGCTGACCCGGGCTATGCGGGAGAGTATCTAAAAGTGTTGGCTTTCTGTCAGTGAAAATTCTTAAACATGGAGCAACAATAAATGCTTCCTGAAGAGACTATATTATATTTACTGTCTTTTAAAGTGATGTGCAAGGATTCTTTCTTCATATTTTTCTTCCATTGTCCCCCCTTGTCTCATAGTTACAAAAAAAAAAAAAAACCACGAAGAATTTGGTTTGCATAGACTACTCTTAGGAATGGATTAATCAACACAGCACTTACACACAGTCACTCAACAAAGTCTGTCTGGTGCTGCCTGCCAGCTCAGGGCTCTTAAGGGGTGTTGAAAACTCCTCTTCCCCAGTGGATCACTGGATGACTCCAGGGACGTTCTCCAGGGAGGCCTCTCCCTGCTGAAGTACTTTTATCCTGGAATAACGCTTATTGTGGGAAACTGTAGCTTTCAAGGCTGTATCTTGTGTATATCTCACTTAAGCTTCATTAGAATCTCATGATACAGGTGGGACCAACATTAACCCACTTTATGAATGAGGAAAGATAAGGGGGCTTTGGAGATTTTCTCAGAATGACATACCTGGACAGCAGGTGGGCCAAACCCAGGACCCAGGTCTCTCACTTCCTGTCTTAGGCTTGCCACCATATCCTAACACCACACCCTGGCACACTTCTAGAACCAGCAGGCTGAGCTGATGCAAGTCCCCATATTCCTTCCCACTTTGTCCCTAAGATGCTCTCAGTTCACCCACTAGCCATGCTAGCTTCCAGGTCAGCTCTTGCCATATATTTTACCTCTCAGCAACCAAGAAGAGCATTTGCTGGACAGCAGTCCCAGTACCCATTCCTTGGTTGCTCTACAAAAGTGTTTGGCCAACAGACTGGTTTCTTTCCCAGAGTTGCTTCTGCTTAAACAGAGGCAAGAGAACTGCAGCTGGGAAGTCTTGACAGTGGCATGACCAGGGCTACTCCCTGTGTGCTAGTGCAGAGACAATGTGTCCTCTGCCTGGCGCTCAAGCTAGGTTTCCTCCTGGCCAACCAGCCAAAGGGAACCCACTGGGAACTTGAGGCTCTCAGTACTTTCCCAGGAGCCAGGAGTGGTGAGACTGCTGGTTGGCCATTCCCCAACTTTTCACTGGGCATGAACCACCAGACTCCTTGCAGTTCCTGACCACAGGACTGTGTCCCAGGAAGAAGAGAGGAAATGATGCAGACCCTGCCTGAATTTCCTTGCCAGCAACAGGTGTGCAATCCTAATCAGCCCTCTTCCTCGTACTGGACATGCTGGGCACGCTGGATGCAGACGGCAAAAGCGGAACAGCCACACTAGGAAACAAAAGCCAAGTGATGCCAAAGACAAAGCCAACCGGCCAGGCCTGATCACGGACCCGCTAGACCTCCAACACGAGGAGACAGAACCTGTCACCCAAGCTGCATCCTGCTTCAGTGGGCTTCTCCACAGCCAGGTGTGTCACCTCCCCTCCCTGCACTCCTGCTTTGCCAGGGGTCATCACTGTCCTCACTTGCCTCCTGACTGCAGAAAGGCCCACCTGCTTTCACCCACATCACACATTAAACCTTCAAGGAACTGCAGAAACTTGACAGCTGGTGCATCTTTCAGGGAACCCTCTTGCTGGTCCCCAAAGCCTTCAGAATCAACTCAACCTCCTTCCTGTTGATGACACATACACACAAAAAGGGGGACTGTTGAAACTCCAAATAGCCTCCCGAAGTCATCAGGGTACCCCCAGAGAGCTGCCGACAGTGATGTTCTTCACAGCCTTGTGAAAATTCAAGGTGAAGATTCTTAAAAACAATCCAAACCTGTGGCCACTCAGGATTATTTAAACAAGTTAAGGTAAACTAGTATACAGTCAGACCACTGGACACTATCCAGAACTTAAAGTCAGGTTGTGGAAAAAATAGGTAGAGCTGATTTAAATGACAAACTGTGAGAGGATTTACATAAACTATGTGATTAAACAGTTCCTTGTCCCTGGGGCATGCTCAGTAGCACCTTAGCTGTTAAATAACAAAATATTTAAAATTCCTGGGTTTACACACACAGGAAAATACAGAAATGACATCGCAACTTTTGTGTAGATGAAGATCTCCATTAGGTGATTATATTTCCTCTATATTTTTCTGAGCTCACAGAGTTTTCTGCATTAACAAGTATCTACAATTAGAAGAAGTATTTGTTGTGATCATGTTGACTACTAAGCTTGGTTACATAGCTTTCTGTTCAACACATTTTATACTATGTTTTCAACCTGATTTCTCCCATCCTCCAGGCTCTACAAGTGGACCTCTTCAGACTTGAACTAGGTGTAGTCTGAGAAACTAACTTTGTTATGACAACTTTTTGTTTGTTTTTGTTTTTGTTTTCTCATGCTAGGGACTAAGCCTAGGACCTAGAGCATGCTAAGCAAGCACTTTACCACTGAGCAATAACCCCAGCCCTAATTTATTTTTGAAACTTCAAATAACTAAGGGCATAAGATTTTTATGTTTTTATCAAAAATAAAATCAGCATACTACAGTGACACAGCCACATCAATGGTTATAGCAGCACAATTCACAATAGCTAAGCTATGGAGACAACCTAGGTGCCCTTCAACAGATGAATGGATAAATAAAATGTGAGATATATAGATATATAGATATATATATATAACTCAGCTATAAAAAAGAATGACTGACATTTGCTGGTAAATGGATGGATCTGGAGACTATCATGCTAAATGAAATAAGCCAATCCCAAAAGACCCAAGTTCAAATTTGGAAGCTAACCTACCATAAGAGGTGGGAGGGGGAAATGAAGGGAAGGGAGGGGGCTGGGAAAAGGAAAGAGTGGAATGAATCTGACATAACTTTCCTAGGTCACTGTGACTATATCACAGTGACTCTCACCATCGCGTATACCATAAAAATTAATTTTAAAAAATAACTATGGGTAAATGGCAGAAAGATCAGTAGTGGGAAGGAAACAGGGGTGGGGGAGGGAAGGGAAGTGGTGGAGACTGAATTAGAACAAGATACAGTCCATGCTTTTATAATTATGTCAAAATGGATTCTACTGTATAACTAAAAAGAACCAATAAAAAATGGCATGTACTAGTTTTTAAAAGGCTGCTTTGGGGTCAGTTTTTTTTTTTTTTTTTTTTTTTTAAATGTGCTATAACAATTTGACTAGTGTCTAAGCCAGCTAGAGAATTTAAAGTGTTTATTTACAGTCAGTTAAACCAGTGAGGAAATAGGGAAGAACTGCCTTAAAACCAGAACAGAAAAAAATGCTATAAATAATACAATGAAATTCAGATTGGGTTTGTAATGACACCCAGCATTAAAAGACAAAGTTCTGAATCTCATGGTGTTGGAAGCTTCACAGAAATCAAGAGTGACCCTTCTGAATGTCTGTGAGAGACTACCTTGGCCGCCTCTCTCTATACCAGTCATGGTGTTGTGCTGCACAATACAGAACCTCTCGGATTCCCAGAAACCCTCGGCACGAGGAAATCTATCTCCACTTGGTGCTAATATTGATCTGAAGAAGGCACAGGAGAGTTGAAAGGGTTGTTGGTTGGTTTTGCTTTTTAGGTTTATTCTTGCATAATCTTCCTCGTACATCTAACTACAGTCTCACCTCTGGGAAAAGGAAGAGCCACCACTGCAGGACCATTAGCATCTTCTGTGCTCAGTGAAGAAGAGGAGGGGCAGAAAAGACCCAAAATAATCCACTGTGGCAAGGTTGCTTTTCTCATTTTATTCATGAACTATGTGAATTTAAACCATAAGGGTCAAAATGACCAAAGAATTGTTTTGAAGAGATTGTTCTTTCTAGGTTCAAGATGCACGGGAATAGTAATTTGTATTGATGTTGTTACTGGTTTAAAGAAAAAACAAAAACAAAACAATAACAAAAAACCCCTCAGTTACCATAATCTGAATTGGTAAAATTTAACATTTCACACAAAATAAGGTGCCAAAGAAACACTCAAACAGCAAAACAACCCCAATTTCTTTTAAATGAACAAAAAGAGAAACCTAATGTTTTGGCCCTGCTTTATCAAACCTTAGACAAATACGTAGGTCTACAATTTACAGTAGTGTCTAGTAGTTTTTAGAACTCCACAAACATTACATAACAGACAATATAGTCTCCCTTTTACAGAAAATTAAATAGTACCATTATTTGGCAACAGAAGTATATTACAATCAACAGGACATCCTCCAAGGGGGTGGCCTAGCCCTACCCCTGGGCAGGGCATGAGGGGAGCAACACGCCACTGGCACTGTGGCCACTAGTCACTGGGACACAGCACTCCTGTTACGCTCGATTACATTCTTCTGCACAGGCAAAGGCTAACTGAGGGCTCGTGCAGCCCCACTGGGAAGGGCCCACGTTCTGGCTTTTCTGGTCTGCAGACTCTTTTTTAGATCAACCAGGTCCAGGTAGCAGCTGACTGGCTGACTCTCCCCATACTACTGGCGCCCCAGCCAAGAGGGCTTCGTGCTGGGGGAGGAGCACCAGGGCCATTTCTGGGCAAGGGGGTCAGACCTTGCCTTCTGCATCCTGGCCTGACATGGCCTTCCTGGGCTGCACTCACAAAGAGATCGCTAAACAGCTCCACCTTTGGGATCAAAGGCTGTTACAGTCACATGGACAGTTTCTTAAGGTGATTTGTAGGTGATTCATATGCCTCAACAGATTCCAGTTAGGTTTCCGAAATCCCAGGTTTCCACAACCCTAAAGTCCGCTTAGACTCACATGTTCCACGTCAGGCCACCAACAGGAGACTCTGATGGTTGCTTAGCAACATTAAGAGGCACACACCTAATTGAAAGAAATGCTAAAAACCTAAGGCGCATACCTTTATCCTTTCAATCCAGGGGCCCCGAGCTTTCCACACACAGTGATGACAACTCAATGCCCCAGTCACCAAAAACCCATCAAGGAAGCATTTCTGGGGCCACCACCTCGTGAAGCCACTTTTGCATGCTTCTCTTCAGGTTTAGACGAACCCTGCCTGTGTCACCCGCACAGGACGTTTCTGGTGGTCATGTAAATAAGCACAGACCTGTGCCCCAGAAGCAGCGTGGATTCTTGGTACTTTTCTGGGAAAGGTGTAGGGAAGGAGAGGAAGGCCTCTTGCCCCCAAGGCCTCATCAAGGACACTGCCTGTCCACAAACAGCTCAGCCCAGAGCCCTCAACTTCACCTCCCACCCATGGGGCAGGCTAGAGAGGGTGAGGCCGCACCAGGACATCTCAAGGAAAATGCAAACACTAAAGAGGTGTCTGAATCCACCCAGAGAGAGAAGTGGGAAGGGTGACCAGAAAGCCAAGAAGTGGCCTCCCCGAATGCTCCTGACCTCTCTGAGGGGATGGCTGGGTCACCCCAGATTCCTGACCCTCACTAGAACTCAAGGAAGCTTCTGTGGCATGAGACCTGGTGGAAGACATACCCACCCTCCAGAGTACACCGTCTGTATGAATTCATTCTAATGCCACATGGACACCGACCTCATCCAAGGTCATGGTTACAGGACACTTCATTCTATCACACCCAATTTCATTGAAATTCATCACATTCTCTGCAGGAAAAATCCCACTCCTTTGAATTCCTAAACATATACAACTTGGATTTTTTTTAAATATAAGAAATTTAGTTGGGTTGAACCCAAGTAATCTGATGAAGCATTTTCTACTCCTGGAATAGTTTTACTTTTTTCCTATAGTTTTATGCACTTAAATTAGATTCCTAAAATACTCTCATATACATACAGAAAAATAATCTCTCAATGACAAATCACATTTTACAATAACAGGTTGAATATTTTAGATGACACAATCTGTGTTAGTTTATGCAACATGTAACAGCAGAGTCTTACACACAGTATATACATTTAGTCACGGTCATTCCCATAAACGTACAGCAGAGAGTTCACAACTAACCTTCTAAAGAGCATGACCTTTTTCACATTATGGAGAATTCTGCATTTTTTTTTCTTAGCTATAAACAGCACAAAATGCAGAAAACCAGAAACCATGAGCTGATTATCATACATAGGACATTGTGTAGTGGTCTCTCATTTGTATACATGTATTTACACATATGTGTGCCACCTATGTTTGTGAGGGTACAAAGCTGTTGGAGCTAAGGCAGTGCACAGGGGTGAAATGGTAGTCAGTTCCTCATATGCAGAGCTATGAGGGGCAGGGGGTGCACAGACTCCAGCTGGGGGTACCACAGCCAACAAAGTCTGAGACTAATACTTGGGTTACTGGAAATATACGCTTTAAATGCACATCTAAAACTAAACATCGTTAAGATCTTTCTAAAATATCTACTTTCTGACACAGTGACTATTTAGCAGATAACATATTAAAGATGTTGATTATAAAATATATCTCAAAATATTCATTCGTTAAAATTGACGCTGACACCATATTAATTCAATGCCTCTAGAGAACCTTTCTGGACCTTCCGTAGTTTGGAAGACTGTATGAAATGTGGAAACAAAACTGTAGTGTGTTATTTCATTCAAGGTGACTTACTCCACATGAGCTAGGTTTGCAATTTGTTTGACACAATAAGAATTATTGCTCTACGTGGGTAGAAATGGGACTCCATTTGCAAAAAGCAAGAAGAGCAGAAGTTGGAGCATCCGGCCCAGTGAAAGCAAAAGCTTGTGAAGGAAATCCACATACCAGCCAGGAAGACCAGCTCCATGGTCATCAGACCTCCCTGGGACCATGGTCTTCTAGGTCTCCAGGCTACTCACACAACAGGGCCTCTCCTCTCTGCAAGCACCAACCTACCTAAAAGTCAGATCACCTCTCCACAGGGAATCCTATGCAGGGGATCTAGCTGGGAGGCTGCTGCCTCTCAGAAGCCCTCAGCTGAGGCTCCCATTAGAACAAGTGTCCAGCCACTGAGGAAGGGTCACTGAGTCCTCTAGGACCTTTCTCACTTATCCTTGAAAACAGAAAGGATAAGTGAGAAAGGATAAGCGAGGCTTGGGAAAGCCTCACTGTCCACCAGGAATTGGAAGAAATGCCCTGGTGGGTGACTAACCCCCAGAGGAAGAGTCTCATTTCAAAGTAGTGAGTTTGATGGTAGAAGCTCAAAGGCCTCTTGGCATCTGATGGCATGCCCTGGACTGGGAGACCACAGACCAGCTCCTGTCACCCTGAGTGACACTCCCTCCCTGGCTCTGGGATGCTTTGGGGCTTGGGTTTTCTATCTCCAAATTAGTCCAGGCCATTTGTGCTTTTAGAAACTAGACGCAGATATGATGACGAATACATCAACCCAGCTCTATGAAGCCTGCCAGGGGGACCTTCCACAGAAAAAAGACACAAGATGAAGTCCCCTGCTTAAGAACCAACTGAAAATACAGCATGGCTAGCGCTCGTATCATAGTGAGCAGCCGGAGACACCAAGGGCCCTGCACGCAGAGAGCCTAATGCTCTGCTGGCGCCATCTTGAAGTTCTTCATCATGGGGAATGAGCGGGCTGGGCCCACAGATTCTGAGCTGGTTGTCAACGCGCCTAGAAAAAGGGTGGAAGAGCACGTGTCCTGGCCCCTCTTCAGTCCACACATCCATTCCCACCTCCTGGTGCATCACACACACACACACACACACACACACACACACACAAACACACATGCACACACAAGCACCCCCAAACATATAAACATAAGCACAGACCACAACAAGCCACTGTACCCCACTACTTCATGCCATTGAAAATTCCAGAAGTCAAAGTCTGCAAGTAGAGACTCCAAGTAAAGCAAACCTAACTTCAGGAATGAGGCCGCCTCCAGAGGCCTGCCCAAAGCCCTCCCGATAGTGGGGACACGTCTGACTTAGGTCTTTAAAGGGATGAGTCCCATAGACCCCCACTGAAGCAGATGCAGAAAGGCAGGAGGGCTAAGGATCTCTGACCACGAAGAGCAAGGTCTCCCTAGGTTTCCTTCTGCAATTTACACAAGAGCAATGCCCTGGACCTGCAGCAGGTGGCGCCAGTACCTTGGGACCCACCAGTGGGACCAGCGAGTGTCCAGCACACACAGACCCCCTTCACCCCCCAGCAGGGACAGTGGACAGAAGACAGCTGCTGCCACTCAACCAGACGTTGCTAAGCCACCACCCTCTCTTGGGATCCTATCTGCCCAAGGCTCCAGCTCCGTTTCCAAACTGAAACAGGAGGAAAGAAGAGATTTAAGAGGCAAAAGAACAGAAGCAAGGTTACTCTTATAAATGTCAGAAGTATAAAAGCAGAGTTCCAGAAGAAGAAAACAGGCATTCCTTCCACTGCATTAAAAAGTTCTCATGAAATAGAGGGATGCTGGCCTTTTTCAGCCCACTTCTGAACACGCTTTTACTTGGTGGGCTTTGAATATTAAATACACTCATCAGATGATAGTATATGATGGTATAGAAAACAGAACAGAATCCCATGAAAACAGAGGCTCACAAAACACCACAGTAGGGGCAGATTTGCCCTGATATATATGACAACACACATAGTTGAAAAATGATTATGTGACTGCCGTCTGGCTTCCAAGACCAGAGTAGAGGTTCCCTTTAATGGAACTGATTGATTCTGCAAGAAACGGAAGTCATAATTTGGAGGTGAGTTTTTATAAGCACTGGGTGTAATTTAAATGACTTAAAATCAGATCTACAATTAGGCTTGACAGCTGTGAAGGAAGGAAATTCCCACTGCCTCCAGTCCCCCTCCCAGGCCAGGAGGGGGACTCCCTGAATGAACAATGCATATAGCTTCACATGTCACCAAGAGGTGACTACCCAGAGAAAAGACTGTCCAGTGTGTTGGCACCCAGGTTTTAATGCTCCAGAATCAGAGAGTATTTCAACTGGGTTCCATCTTTCACCCGGTTACACTTCCTGGTCAGGGATGGAGTCCTTCTGGCTCCTACAGATATAAAGTCAGTAGAATCGGATGACCTAGACACATGGGTCAAATACAATGGAAGGTGAAGAAATGGGTTCTGGAACTTTCCTTTCCTCTAGCTCAAATAAATGTCTGTCTTCTAGGTAGGAAAGTAGGAGCCTTATGCAGGAGAGGAAGCTGGGGGTGAGTCTTTCTGCCAACCAGCCAGTTGCTTCCTCTGAATCAGACCTTACATAAGAGGCCCTCATTATTCCTTTGAACCCCTTACAGGGCAACATTAATTGGTAGGACCATTCAAAATAGACTCAAGAGCTCATGGGAACTCATCACTCCAGCAAGCTGGCCTGGTTCTAGGGACTGCTGCACTGGAGGTACAAGCCACAGTGACAAGAACAGGTGGAGCCACTTCTTCATCAAAGAAAGGGACCACGGGGTCAAGAGTTGCAAACAAGCCCCCTGACTGGAGCTCCCTAAAGGAGTACTTCTCCGTCTCAGCAGGTGAGCCACTTGGCATCCCCGACAGCCTTGATATGGCCCATTTAAGCCTGGAAGGCCAATGGCCCAGGACTACTTGACAGCCTGTTTTGGAAAAAGAGACTGAGGAGTCTCTTTTTCCTCTCCCCCTGCTGCTTTACTGTGAGTGCTTCCTCACTCTTGCGAACAGGCCTGCCTTCCTCTGAAAGGGGGCCCAAAGCAGGTAGGCAATTACAGGGTGGGTAGGAAGAAAAGAAGAGAAAATATCCTCATTTTTCAAGCCCTGACCCTCCCTCAAGAGAACTACGTGTTCATGCACAGGACAGAGATGGGTTGACAGATGAAGGTCTCGGGTCACTCGCTGGGATGCCTGACCCTCTTGTACTAGTCCAGGGAGCTCAGGGCTGTTCTGGGGAAGCACCTACCAGTACACACAGCCTGTCTGTGTCCCTACAATTGATCCCAGAACAAGAGCCTGGCCAACCAACCCTGAGCCAGCCTTCTCAGAAATGCCATCTCCAGAGTATCCTTAAAGCAAATGAATCCGAAGCACAGAGAAACACAAGAGTCTGATGTTGCGGGGCCAGGGAAAAGGAGGAGACTGAACATCCCAAATCCATTTACAAAGTACTAAGTGGCTAGTTGAATATTGGCATCTGACACCTGCTGTCCCCAGCAGTGAGGGAAAGTCCCTGTCAGGGAGTCCAACACCCCAGGGTGCCAAAAAAAGAGGCATTAGTTCTACCAAATGCTTCTTAGGGTGGCCTGGACCACACTGAGGGCTTCACTCCACCTTTCAAATTCAACCAAAAGTACCTTCTCCCTCCATCTATCCCTTGATCTCCGGCCCCCAAAGACTAGAACATCCTCTCTGTGTGCCTCAGCCACCCATAGTGCCTCTGCTGGTGTGAGCTGAAGCTCTTTCACCTAAAAGCAAAACAAAGACATCAAGTCCTGTTTGTCTTCACCCCCTTACTCTGGCACAAGACACTCTCAACTCACAGGGCGAGCGCCTGGGAATAAGCAGACCAACTGCTAACCTCACACTGACCACAAGCCTGAAAGGACCCCGTTATCTGAAAAGTATTCCAGGTGTCCATGTGTAAGTGCCCTGTCAGCTCAAAGCGATCTCAAATCTGAAAGGAAAGGTGAATCAAGTCAATCAAATTGCACTTCGTTTCCAGTGGAAATTCTTAGTTTTTATACACCCAAATTTTCTTCCTATGAACCAAAAAGACCTGACAAACTAGGGGAAAAAAAATCCTTGGAGGAGAAATAGTTTTTTTCTCCCCTATGAGGTTCTAGAAAAGTCTAAAATATACTCTAGGATCTCCACCTTTCAAATTCAACCAGAAGTACCTTCTCCATCTATCTCTTGATCTCCAGTCCCCAAAGACTAGAACATCCTCTCTGTGTGCCTCAGCCAGCTTCTGGAGAGATGGTCAGCCTTGAAAGGTCGACCTCTATCATCCTTCCCCAGTCCCCCTGATCCTAGGGCACACCCCCAAGGACACCTGGGGTGTTGGCATCAGGTCACCAAGGTAAGGCATAGTAAAGCGGTCAATTTACCATTTTTTGATGGGAATTTTTTTTTCACTTAAGTTCAAGTCAACCCAACCAGATGAAATGGAGTATTTGCATAGATCTAGATCAAAAGCAAAGAAAAAAAAATGCCCCCTATTCCACTAATGTTCTTTGGGAGCAGAGCTTTCTCCTCTGCTATCAGAGGACAGAGACATGTTATGCAAGCAGTGAAACAGGGAAGACTGGCCCCAATTCTGGAGCATTCCTGGTAACCCAAGCCTAGAATGTTCTCTCTTCCCCATTAGGTCAGACCTGGACCTGAATGAACCACAATATGTCTTTAGGCTCTCATGGTCCTGATTCTAGGAGAGGATTCTGTTTACAGGCCAGGAGAGAAAATATCAGCCAGGGCAGCCCTGACCCAGAAGGACCAGGATGTGGAATGACCCTGTGAGACAGCAGGTCTAGGAAGAAGGTCCAAGATCTCCTGTGCTCAGGATAATCCTCAGGGCTTTCTGAGGGTCAGAGCATAGCATGTAACCAGGAAAGCTCCTTTCTGGGTGAGAGGATGTCAGCACAGGAGGAACTAGCAGTGTGGCTCAGAGAAGAGGAACACTTGCAGCGGTGTCTAAAAGGCTGTATCGGGATGTCAGGAAGCACGCCTAGAGAAACCCTGTAGTTAGAAAGCAAAGAGCCAGGCGACAGACTCCTTCATGCCCAGGGCATTTCATCTCTGTGAAATGTAGCCCAGACAGCAGAAAGAGAGAAGTGAAGGAATAGAGGGCCAAGGGCTCAAGGCTCCATGCATCACCCATATTCCTGCCTCCCCAACACTACTCTCAGTCACAGCCAGGTTGGAGGGACAGCCCAACGCATTCATAATACCATGGGTCACATTACAAATCACACCAGAAAATACAAGGACACTCATCCAGAACTCGCTAGGCTGAGAAGCATCTCAAGGATGCGCCATAGAGTCACGTGGGAAAAAAAGACCACATATTGCTTTTTCATGCTACATAATTCCAATAATGGGATTCTACCAGTAGGAGACCTGGAATCTAAAAGATTTTAAGAGGTTTATCATTGTGCATACCACACACTCCCTACAGGAGCAGAGATGTCCAACATTAATACGAAAATAAAGTCAATGAAGGAAGAAAAGGGAGAACAGAAAGAAAGGGATTGGAATGGTGATCCAACACTATCCCACTTAACATTTAATACATTTTTTTTCCTACTATGGTAACATGTCCCTCATAAACACAACGAACAAACTCTGTTGGGTATAGAAATAGGAACACACGAATTACATGTCTATTTATAGATTTAAGAGAGTTTCTTAACAACATCAAAAAACACAAAGTATTTTAACCATGTTTTCTGCCGGGAAGTGGTAAAGAAATGCATGCCTGAAGTTGAACTTACTCTACAACATGTTCAGTTGAAAGTTTCTAACTAAAGGGTTTATCTGCTTGTTTCAAAAAATACTTATGTCTGATACAAAATTCTACACTATCTTCATAAATAAATAATAAAGTGTTTCTTAAAAGTATGAAATGTAAACTTTGTTATTCTTTCCAACACACACGTTTTAAAAACTGCTTGAACTAGGACAGGGCTCTTACCAGAAGCAATAACTCTACGCATTCAGTTCCCAAAGAAGTGGGTACTCTGCCACGATCATTGTGAAAACACTGCTACAACCCTAATGAAATTCTAAGGACCTACAGTCAAATTTCAGAATACCATCCAACACAGGAAAGCTAGACTCTAGTACCAAGAGGACATGCAAAGGATACCTCATGACCACAACGAGCTGCAATTATGAGAACATCAACATGCAAACAAAATATGGCCCACACTTCTCATTAGCAAATCAAGGTATTCTAATTAATCAGCTGCCCTCCTGGAATTCAAGGGAGAACACTAAGTAGCTTGGTACACAGTCGTACCCCTGACTCTGGCAGCAAACGCCCGTATTCCACCCGAGAGGCTGGCCTGTGTCTGACGCAGCCCAAGAAGAGTGTGGCTCTTCCTCCCCAGAGCTGTGGGCACACTCCTCACCACATGATGGGCATCCTTCACACCTTCCCACTCCACCTCCAGTTTGTCATCTTTCCTTTTTAAATCTTAGGGGTGCAGGACCTACCATTTTTAGGAACCTATCAAAGACTGCTTCTGAAATTTCCCTCTGGTACATTTGATCAGAGAATAGGCTCAGACCTGGTCACCAGCAGTGACTCTTGTCATGGAACGTCACAGGCCTCCAAGCCAAAATAAAACTTTCCAACAAGGGCTGGCAACCAGGATTCAATGACGTCACACAGTTGCCTTCCCAGCAACAGGCAGTGATCTAACCCAGCAAAGCACGACTTTGTAGATGATGAGCTTCTGTGCCACCTTCCACGCACACCAGGAATCCGAACTGAATCACCGGAAGGTACATTGTGTGCTTTCACTGACATATCAATTCCGGGGCCTAGAGGAGAATGGAACAGCTGGAACAGCAGACATGCTGGAATCTTCCAGGGACTAGCTCTTCAAAGAGCTTAGTTAGAGTTCAATTAGGAGACTATCACACAGAGCAATAGATCCCAGAGAGCATTTCCCTGCAGGGGAATGAGATTCTGAAGCCATACAAATCCATCCTAATTGTTTCTTTCTTTCTTTCTTTTTTGTACTAGGGATTGAACCCAGGGGCACTCAACCACTAAGCCATATCCCCAGCCTTTTATTTATATTTTATTTGGAGACAGGGTCTTGCTGCCTAGAGCCTCATTAAGTTGCCAAGGCTGGCTTTGAACTCGTGATCCTCCTGCCTCAGCCTCCCAAGCTGCTGGGATTACAGGCGCGCACCACCAGGCCCAGCTCATAATTGTTTCTAAACACACCAAGGCCTGGGCGGTATAGGCCAAGGAGTCTACGAAGGGGCTGATGGACATGAGAATTAGGAGGTCACACAAGTTCTCCAAGAAAACCGACACTGCATTTAGGAATCTACTCTACAGTAACCAGGCCCATGCCACGAGTCCAAGGATGGGCCAGGTTCCAATCCAACCTTCTTGAGGGTTAGAAGATTCAGAGACCCTAGAAGCCACAGTGAGACCCACAGTGAGGAGGAAGGAAAACAGTGCTTTTTTTCATAAAATGAGAAACTGTTCAAGGAGCAGGATTGTCGAGAATTATTCCTAGATTGGAGGGGCCCTTCTTTGCTGTCCCATTGTCCTGTGGCTAAACTCCAAATAATAATTTTTTAGAAAAAGAACACAATTTGCAGACAGCAGGTGCAGCCTCTGAGCGTGGCCCAGGCCGCTCCTTACGGCTCATCAAACAACTGCAGATCCAGGCGGACCACAATCTCTCCCGTGGGGACCTCGTGCAGCAGCAGACACTTCGTCACTGGCCCCTTGGAACCCTGGTCTTTCTTGATGTCAGCTACACGGATCTCGGTCCGACCCAAAAAATCTGAAAAGAGAACAAACAGACCCTGCTCAGGAGGAATCCCTGTCTTCCAGGCATGCACGGGTCACCCTGCGAATCTCCCAAGGAGCTGCCTACTCTCCCTTTCCTCTGACCTTTGGAGTAAGAACAGTACCATGGTTCCCAGTTTCTCCCCCGTGGAGCTCTCAGGGTGTCATGATGTTTCATTATTTAAAAGACAGAGAAAGAGAAGATTCTGAATGTTCCCAACACAAAGAAATGATAAATGTCTGAGGTGATGCCTGATCGCATCATTACACATCGTCCACACACACTGAAATGCCGTACAGACCTGAAGGTTTGGGATTAGATTGTATTTGGGGGCGGGGGCGGGGGCGGGTTGTTTTTTATGAATTATTCTGCTTAATATTTTTTTAAGATTGACACACCATAATTGTACATATTTAGAAAGTATTGTTGGCCCCGCGCTGGCATTCAACCAGCTATGGGACTGTCTTTGGGCAAGCCCAGGGCTTGTAAGTCACTTGGCATAGTTCATACCAGAAGAACTAAGAGGCAAAGGCCACGTGGAGCCATTGAACCTCTGCACAGATGCTGCCAGCAACAGGCGCTCACTCCTGGCACTTAATTATGCTCCTCGGAATATAATTACAACCATCATCTTTTAACTTACCCTCTGACTTTTGCTGGGGTGAAAGAAAAGCAGGTAATATTTTGGATTCATTGGCCAGGGATTGTTCTTCTCCAGGCTCAAAGCAGAGATGGAGAGCCAACTGAGGAAGGAGTATCCCTTTTCCTAACCAGAAATGTCACCCGGTGGATGCCGACTGATTCTGCTGTGCCTGTTGTGGGCTGACGTCCCTTCAACTCTGTTGGCCAGTTCTATCCCATAGTCTTTTGTCAAGGGTGAAAGAACTATGCTGGGGCTCTTGGATGTACTCCTCTTTGCAGTCCCTGCCTTGGAAATCCTACTGTCCTTATTTAAGGCAGTGGGAACAACTAGACCAGTGTGTCCTGTGCTTGTCCCTTCGGACATCCCCAGCATCACCTTGTCTTATGTCAACCTGATCCCTCAGGAGCGAAGCCCAGAGAGTTCCAAGGCCAAGTCCTCTGGTGAGAAAACAGGGACCCCTGCAAGACGAGGGACAGGGAGGGAGGGGAGGTGCCACGGGACTGCCTTTTACTCACCGTCTGGTGAGAACTGGTCCCTCTCGAACACGGTGATGCACAGGACCTCCTGTTCCAGGTCTCTGATGAAGAACTGGCAGTTGGAATTCCACTTGGGGTTCAGAGTGTCCTGGATTGTCTTGGTGATGTGGCACTGGGAGCCCATGGTCACCTCGCAGTATGGGTTGCTCTTTCCTGGAGCAAACAAAAGCCTCTGCCAGGTGGGAACGACACCTCATTTGTCCCCTCCACTGTCACACTTAATAAGTGCAAAATCTGGGTGAAAACTCCCCAAACTCAGTATCATACTTAAATGGAGAGCAACTAATTAGATGGGTGGGCCTTTGAACTGTCTGCTGTCCTCAGCCTCACAATGTGTCACCTCTACTGTGACACAGCCAGTCAGATTCCCCAGAGAAGCAGAGGAATGGAAAGCATTCACACCAACAAATAAAACCTCCCGCTTTTTAACAAGTGCCATGAAAGCCAGTTCCTGAAGAAAATTTAAGCTAAGAACTTGATTTAAGGTCGGTTGGGGGGCGTGGGAAATGCAGGGAAACCCCCAGCACGCCAGGGGACGCTTCCTTGGTCCTTACCGTGTGACCGGCAGGGCTTCAACTCAATGCCTTCCACAACGTTCACCATCAACCTTCCAATGCCTGTTGCCCTTTGGGAACGGACTGTGACAGCAGGGAAACACACGCTTCATTTCAACACGGGATGCCTGTCTATCCCGGTTGACCTTCCTGCACCCAATCCAAAGCACTTCCCCCCTCCTCTCCTTAAACCCTTGCTTCCTGGCTCCTGGCTCCTCCCTCTACCCCTTGCCTGCACCCCCACCCTGTGCCCACTGCCATCCCATCTCACGCACCCCTCTACTTCTAGGCACAGCTCCAGCGCTAAGGATTCTGGGCCCAACCAAATGGCTCTCCTACTCCAGCTCTGCAGGAACCTCGGGCCCTGCCACCTGGAGATACTTTACCAAGGTACGCCTTCTCTCTCTTCTTTTTCTCAGTCTCTATGTAGAGCTCAGAAGCAGCTTTGATTTTCTGCACCCAGGCAGTCCTTGGACGGGAAAAGACAGAATGTTGCCAAACAGAACTCAGGGAAAAAAAGGCTTCGGGTCTGTTCAAATTCTGTTTCCAGGACTCTCGTTGGTTCATTTGATTTTAATGACAAAGGCTCGGAAAAGAAATGTCACAGGATGCTATTATCCCTACCATTAGTAAGAAAGTGGTGTTCTCATGGGTAAAAGACCTGCATCTGTGTCCCCAGGAAGGAAGTCTATGTTAAATGACAGACACCCTGGAGGAGGTACCACTCCTCTTTTTTTCCTTGTTGAAAAACATCACATATTTGCCCAACCCAGTAAGGCAGAAACGTCTCTCCTACAAACACACCCAAGGGAAAAACAAAAACCATTTCCCAGACTGGGAACCACTTCCCAAGAAAGAGCAAGACACTCAGCAGGAAGCACTTTGGCCTGGCCTTTCTCCTTCGTGTTTTTCTGAGCCATATGCACAGTAACTTCAGCCAATTCTCCGGCTTGGCACACATGCTCTTTGGAAGTTGTTGGCCTTGTGTCAAGCTCACCCTTCAGAAAATGATCTATTTCACTTGGCTCCAGGACCAGAGCCTTAAGATAGGACTGGAAGCAAAAACCCGCAGCCCAAGGATCCAAAATGAGCCCCGTGTGCCAGGGGAAGAGGATTCAGGTGTGGGTGCTCCTGCTAACCCCCAAATCACCTTCCTGTTGGTCTCTGCCACCTGGGAAACCTGGGCAAACCCAAGATGCTCCATTTTGCTAAAAGACTGCTGAAATTTCTTTAAAAAATATTCTCAAGCATAATTAGTTTCGATCCATTTTATTTTGAAAAAAATCCATGCCATGTGACCAAATTTGAGAAGCTCTAGAAAAAAAAAAAAAAACATTACACTCTCCCCAATCCTCACCAGAATTTATAGCGTTGCAGCTGGGGGGTGTTGGGAATTGCTGGCAGGTGTCCTGCACCCAGTGATAGGGAGTGTCAGGTCTTACCGTTCATTTATGCTTTCTGCTCGGAGGGTGTAGACTCGGTCGATGTGGGAAATGTGGAAGATGGGTTCATCTCCAGAAGGGTCAGTGGGTAATTTTACTAGAACCTCGTTTAGGAAAATAGGCTGTAAAGTAAGAATGCACAGGTCTTACAAAACAGCCTGGGGTCTGTGTGCTCTAGAAAATTCCGGTGAGTGTGCTTGTGCAAGAACATTCGAGAAGGCAAGACTGCGGGTATGTATTTCAGTAAACTAGACTGACCATGAATGCGTGTGTGTCCAGTAGCCTAGACAAAGGGTCTATGTGTGTGTTTGAGGGTGTGGTCCTGTAAACCAGACTAAGGATTTGTGTGTTTCCAGTAAATTATTCTGGAACAAGGATTCTGTGTTAATATTGATTTTGATATATTGCAAGTTATGGTTATGGGTCCCTTTCATCCTGCAGGTATATTTGATTCCTTCAAGGTAAGATCTAAATGTCTGTTCTCCCACAGTGCATCCTGAACAGCACAGTCCCCACCAACTCCATGTCTAAGTGAGTCCCTCTGAGGAGTTTCATGCGGTTTCTAAGGAAAGGTCTACAAAAATACTTCACTCTCCCCCGCCCCGCCCCCCAATAAAGCTAACTGCTGCTTCTGAGAAAATTCTTCAGTAAAAACACCCTCACACAATTTAGAAAAAAATGATATTCCATGGCACAGAGACACACAAACATAGCCATGCACGTGCGAGCACACCAGGCAACACAGCGTGAGGAACTCTCCACAGGTTGACTGCTCCAGGGGGCTTTCGCTGATAAAGTGGGAGGGTCACAGATGTTTCAAGCTCCCTCGAGATTTGGGAGATTTGGCGGGAGACTCAGGATGGCGTGAAGGTGGCAGTGGCTCTTGGACTGATGATGTTCTGTACCTCTACTCCAACCTTTTCATGCCTGCCACAACTGCGCTCTGGGGCCTGAGCTCCCTGGGGCAAGGCATGTCTCTGTCATGTCCTGGGGACCCAGAGCAGCTAATCCATGTGTAACCAGTGGAATTGTGTGTTACTGGCAATGCATGACCCTGAATCCTGGCTCATCCCTTTGCCTTCTCCTCCACACCACAACCCCAATTCTGCCCAAACTGGCTCCTCTGGAAACTCCTTCCTCCCCAAGCACACCAGCCCTGCTAGTGCACCCTAAACAGAACTTACTGTTTTGTACATTTTATATTGCAGGTTAGACTTGGGGCTGAAGACTTTGTCCGAGCCGGAAGACCCCAAGGGCTTGGTGATTTGGGTCAGCAGGAGGAAGTCATTGAAAAGGAAGCCGTACAGTTCCTTGTTGCTCTTGGCCTTGTACAGCTTCCCACTGTGCAGGAACTTGCGTGGCCCCAAGCAATTGGTCACTGAATTGAACACCAGTTGCTGAGAAAGGAAAACAAAATCCAAAGAAGACACAATAAAGGGAGGTCATGCTTTTATTTTTGTTTCTCTCCACCCGGAAGGATGGGATCCATCAAAATCCATGGACAGGCCCCATCAGCTGCAGCTTGGGCACAAATCAGGATGGCTATGAAGACCTTTCAGAGCCAAGAAGTCAAAGTCAAAGATATGGTTCTGGGGATTCCAAGTGTCCAGAGGAGTCCTGGTGTAAACCTGTGGCTCTTCCCAAGCGTGTGTTTCTCCCTTTTGATTATTGGAGAAACCACCCCATTGGCTCCTACCCTCATGACCATCAGGGTCAGGTGCTGCACCAGAGTGGCAGAAGCCAGCTTAAACAGAAGCCCCCTTTTTCTGGAAAGCAGCAGGGACTCTCCTATATAAGTCCACAAGACAAATGCAACTTCTCAGGCCCCCTAGCATGTGGGTGACGGCAAAACTCAGGGGTGCTTAGTGACAGACACCTCAACAGACACTGTCTCGTGCACATTAAATCCCAACCAACTAACTCATTCTGAAAATGTGAAGGGGACAGCTCTCTCCCTGACACTTTCCAACCCTTAGGGACAGCTATGAGTGTTGACATGTGGCTGTAACATCTCCCTGGGGTTGATGATCTCATCAACCAGCAGGGGCAAAGGGGCAAAGGGGGGCTGAGGTAGAGACAATTCCACAAAGGTCCCATTTGACAGCAAGTGGTGAGGATGAGGCAGCAGGTACCACAGCTGTGTCCCAGGCAGTGAGGTGATCCAGGCAGATGCTGGACCTTCATGGTCTCCACCTGCCTGCACATCTGCCCGGGCCCACATCTGCCCTGGCCGTGCTCCACACAGCAGCCTTCAAGGTCAGGTTTCCAGAGCTGTGATCCCTCTAGACCTCTCCGAGCAGACCGTGTAGGGGCAATGGAGCTCCCAAAAAGCATCTCCCAGAGATGCTGGTGGCTGCCTGTGTACCTCCAATGTGGGAGAAAGATTTGGTGGTGCCTCTGTGACCAAAGAGGTTAACAAGAAGAGCAGTCGTCGCTCTGTTCCACTCAACAGGTCTGTGGAGGAAGGATGTCCTCTAACCTCTCTCCAAAGCTCTGAGAGAAAGATTGAAGGGGACACCCCAACAGGAGCCTTCAGAGAATAATCTTCACCCCATGCACTCTTAACAGAAGCCAAGAGACCAATCTGGCTCTTCTTGCTTGCCAAGTTCAAGATACTTGGTGACAGTGAGTCTAGAAAAGGCAAATGTCCCTGGATCCAATGTCATTTAGAGAATGTCCTGCATTCACACTCCTAGTTTATGGCTCTCAGGCGGCCAGGTTAACACTGGCTCTGTGTGAACTGGGAAGAGTCTTCGCATTCCTCTGTCTCTGGACAAGAATGCCAGAAACAGCATTCATCTGAAAACTAATCACTGGCGTGTATCCAGCTCTGGGCCACATGTGGGCCACTCTGTGGTTATGAGACAGAAATCAGAAGCCATCCTGTTCCCTTCCTCTTACTGTGAATGCCATAAAGACAACCATAAGCTGGGTATGAAAACAAGGAAAGTCCAGTCGATGAAGGACAATAAGTTGGTTTTAAAGGGGGGATATAAGCCTCAAAAATCAGATGTCAAGAATCTATTTTATTCTTAACATCCTCAGGTGAAGACCTAGGCCCCTGCACCCTCTGATGGAGACTCAGGGAGGGCCCCTTACTAAAGTGCACTCTGCTATCTCAGCGTCTCATCAGAAGCGGTCAGGGCCTCTGTCTCCAGCATCAAAGCAACGATCCTTGAACGCTACGTAGCCCTATTGGCCAGCCCTCAGCTTCCCTAAATCAGTGGGGCCCATCGTTGCTCTCCACCGCTGTCCCTTCCCCTGCCACTCAAGACACCCCCCCATTCCTCACTAGAGAGAGAGCTTCATCTTCCTACGTCCAGGCAGGGGTCACCTAGTCCAGCGCCTCCCTGAACACCTGCACAGCTGTCCCTCCTCGTCACACGCTTGCCAGCCAGCTCTGCTCATCACTCTCCCATTTTGTTGTAAATATTAGTTTAACCCCAGCTCTCCGGAGGCCCATAGGCTCTTTGAGTGTATGGGTCACATCTTATTTTTTTTATGTCTTTGGGGTTTAGAATCAAGTGATGGCCTCTCGGCAGATACTCAATAAATGTTTATTAGATGAATGAGTGAATGAGAGAGAGCCAATCAACCAAAGACCATCCCTAGATTCCAAAACGAGGACCCATGGCCTTCACCTTGGTTTCCACAGGTTAGCTTTGCTAACCCTCACCTGCACTGAAGATGGGCAGATGTGGGGCCGGGAAGGCACACAGTGGTGACTTACCCAGGTGCTGTCTTTGAAGCTTAGAGGAGAGAAGAGCCATGGGGAGGGTGGATGATGGGGACACGTTCTCCCTGGGCACACTGGGAAACCCTAGTGCAAGGCGTATGTGTGTGCATGTACGTGTGTGTGCGTGCACACTTACACAGAGACAGAAAAAAAAAACGAGTAGAAAGGATGAATGAGAATAAAGAAAAAGTTGAATGACAAAAAAAAAAAGAATTAAAGGTCAGAGAAGACACTTCCGTCTTTCCATTTCTGGAAGTATGGTGGACTAGATACTCTGGATGACTCACCAACAAAAGCTTTTTAAAAATCAACAAAAATCCTATTTTTTTAAATGCATTCAGCAAAAATAAATAATAATAAAGTTAAAAATACGCAGAGGCCAAAAACCAAAATAAAATTATATCCTTGAAAGATAATCAAGCCCCAAAGTCAGGTTTAGTCCTTAGAGTCTCAGCTGAATCTGGTGATGCTGCATCTCCATTTTAATGGCTATGTAGGGCACAGAGACAGGAGGAGATGTTCCAGGACCCAGGTCAGGGATGTAACAGGAAATCTCCACAAAAAGGTTTCTATAACAAGCAAACTCAAGTGCAGAAAGCATGAGCAAGAGACCTTTTTTGCTTTTGACTTTGGTGAAAATGGAGGAAAACGTGCCTCTGGGAATTTGTGACCACCAGGAAGCTCTCACACAGGCAACCACACAATCCACACAACTAATATGATCCCAAAACACGCTCTAAATATAATTTAGAGTGATCCTGGAGCAATCATCTCATGACGAATGCTACTTCAGACAGCAGAGACGCCCTTAGGTGAAGTTCCTAGGAATGTTGAATTCACAGTTAAGAATCACACTGCAGGGGCTGGCGGTGTCATTTAGTGACAGAGCACTTACCCAGCATTCCCAGCATAGCACGGCATCCCCAGTACAGCAAGAAAAGGTACTCACAATATATACCAAAAAACGAGGTATGATTAGCAAGAGCGAACAGAAACAACAGACAAAAGAATAAGACCCATAACTTTAGGTATCGGACCCATAACTTTAGGTATTTAGGTACTGGATTTGGAATATACAGGAATATGTTTACAATGTGCTAAGAAAAAAATGAGAAGCATGAACACTTGAGCGAGGAACAAGACACAAGAAAGAAACCAGACTGAAGAAAATAAACAGAACTGTTGGCCACAGGAAATAATACGATTATAATAAAAATCTATCAAGATTAAACAGCAGATAAGAAGCCATTGAGAGAGAATTAGGAAACTGTAGGCTGGGGGGATGGTGCATGATTTTTCTTGTCCTCCTTCTTGGTGGCTACAGAAGCTGAGTGAGGGGAGGCCCAGGTCCCGCCCCAGGGGCACTTACCTCCGACAGGCCTTCACACTGCACATGGGCTTGGATCCACTCCAGCCGGTCCGAGTTCTCCTTCTCGCGCACCCCCTCATTCACTTGGGAACACAGCTCTTCGGCCTTCTCCAGGGCATGTTTCAAGTGGCTGTGGTCAGGGTGGTTTTCAGGAGTGTTCTCCAGGATCTACACAGGAAAACAGAAGACAACAGGCAACATGGGTGGGCCTGGGGTCCGTTGTCCTGGAGGACACAGTCCAGCAGAGGTAGGGCACAACCCTTTTCTAACCGTGCCCCCCTGGGCAACCACAGCTCTGAGCGCCACCAGGCAATGGCACACAGCATGATGGCCACTGTAGCAAGTGGCCTTGAAGACCCCTCCTCTTCATGGGCTCAGTGAGGGCTTAAGCGTCCCACCAAGAGGCAACCTGCCCTTGAACCTCAGCCCAACCCCATACCCTTGAACATCCCCAGGGCAAGCTGTGTGACCTGTCCTGCAAAACACTGACCTCCCAGGGTGAACTCTAAACCATACAGACAAGCTCTCAGGATTGATTTCAGGAGGCACACAGAACCATGGAGCCAGAAGGGACCTCAGGGTCTCTCTTTGAAAACCTTTACCCTATTTCACAGAGAAAGAAACTTGGCCCAGAGACTGGGACCAAAGCCAGATTCCCAGCCAGCAGCCAGTTGTAACTCTTCTCCCACCTGCTCAACTCACCCGAGGGAACTTAGGATGGAATTCCAGTGTTAGACCTGTACAGTGTCCCATGAACTCAGACTAAGGTGCAAGACTGGGCAGGGTACACTTGCAGAGGGAGGGGATTAGCATGCAGTGCTGGGTACTGGGGAACAGTGTCTGCACCCTGCATGGATATCCCATAGAGAATGGCTCTTTCCTGGGTCCATGCACAGATGTGGGCCTCCATGCATCTATGAAACTATATGCAGATGGGTGCATTGCAGCAAACGTGTGCTTTTTGAGTAGACTCTTCCAAGTTTAGTGGTTTAGAGTGCCAGTTCCTGAGCTAGACTCCTGGTTAATATCCCTGCTGTGTCACACTGATCAATAACACTTTGCATTGGTTGCTTGAAGGCCCTGGTTCTCAATTGCCTCCTATGATAAACAGAGATGTAAATAGTGCCTCTTTTTAAAGGTTATTTGAAGGACTAAATGACCTGATATAAATGAAACACTTTAAAGTCCCTGCCCCTTAGAAAGCCATAGCAATTGCCATCAGATTCTCAAAGGGCTTTGGGGTCCCAAAAAATAGTTACCATCTTCTGTCCTAAAACAAAGAAAGCCCCTAAGCTACTTTTACAAGGTACCAGGAGAATGCCAAGAGTGTACTTGCCCAGGCAAGTAATTCAAATGAACATTATCCCATACAATATCTCTTCTCAAAGGTATTCTTTGGCTTAAAGTCCTAAGTAGTGCCCAAACTGAGACATACTGAATTGACATATTCTGTATCTTGTGTATCCACCAATTAATTCCAAGCAACTACCTCATCCTCAGCACAAATCCTGACTACACATGAGACTCTCTTTGAAAAATCCTGAAGACTCATCCAACCATATCAGAATCCTTGGGGTAGAACTCTGGCTTAGGCATTTCCCGGAGCTCTCCAGATGATGCTGGGATGCAGACGAGCCCAAGGACCACTATTCTAGACAGGGAGCCTGCTCGGCTAATTGTATGAACTCATTTGCTTTGTTCCAAAATGAAAACAGGTTCATCGATTTTTCTAGTTGTAAAAGTAGTATTTACAATGTATAAAATTTAGAAAATTCAGAAAGTTACCCAGATACTAAAGGTCATTCATAGTTCCCCATCTGGAGAGAACCTCTATCTACGTATTAGTTAATGGATTCATATGTATGAAATTTTTAAAAAATTAAAATTGTATCATGCTACCATTTTGTACACGGCTTATAGCATATCACTTTATATCTGTTTCATATGGATCTATACTACCACTTTGAAGGGTTGTAAAATATGTCATCATAAGACAGACTCACAATATGTTCAAGTAGTTCTCCACTCAAAAAACTCTATGTTGTTTCCAATTTTTCAATATTTCTTTAACTATTTCCTTAAAATAAATTCCTAAAGGTGGATTTGATGATTTAAAGAGAAAGTGTAGGGACTGGGGATAGAGCTCAGTTGGTAGAGTGCTTGCCTTACATGCACAAGGCCCTGGGTTCAGTCCCCAGCACCACTAAAAAGAGAGAGAGAGAGAGAGAGAGAGAGAGAGAGAGAGAGAAAGTGTAGCTGGGCAAGGTGGCACCCATCTATAATCCCAGCCACTTGGAAAGCTTAGGCAGGAGGATCACAAGTTTAAGATCAGCCTGGGCAACTTAGCAAGACCTTGTCTCCAAATAAAATTTTAAAACAGACTGGGGATAGCTCAGAGGTGGAGAATTGCCTAGCATGTGCAAGGGCCTGGTTTCAATTGAAAGAAAGAAAGGAAAGAAGAGTAGAGGAGAGGGGAGGGGAGAGGACAGATTAATCTACACATTACCATTCAAAAGGCTGTAGCCATTTACCTTCCACCAGCATCCTTGCCAACCCTGGAGACCTACAATCTTTTTTCCAACATGTGCCCATTTGGCAAGCCCAAAACAAGGTATTTCCTGGTTTTGTTATGCATTTCCTTTATCATCTGTGACTGTGAACTTTTTGCATGCTTAATACATAAGTGTACTAAATGACAAAGCTAACATTTATATACTAGTAAATAATAATCCAGGCACTTTACAGGTGTTTACTCCATTAATTCTCACAGCACTAAGCAGACAGTACTATTAGTGTCTGTTTTACACACAAGGAGACCAAGGCCCAGAGAAGTTAAGTAACTCACCTGAGGGTGCACTGAGGTCGTACTAAGATTCATACCCAGGCATCCTGGCTCAAAACTTGTAGCATCTCTTCACCACCACTTTACACCACACCTCAGCAGTTTCCAGGTGTGTTTTACCTCTTTTTCTACTGAAGTTTTGTTTTTAAGTTAGAAGAGTATGTGACATACAGATACCTGTTCATATTTCAGTGCCTACTTATATATAGTTAAACTTATATTTACACAGTTTATACAATCTGTCATTTATCTTAGCCTTTCTTTGTTCATTATATTTTCTAACAGAAATTTTAAAGAAAAAAATGTTTATGAAAATAGTAGATTGACGGTCCTATTGTGCAAGAGCAAACAATACAGAGGTATATAGAACAGGAGTGAACGCGGCCTTGCCTGTCCTCCTGCAGAGGAAACCACCGCCAGGCCTGAAGACATTCCTTCAGGGTCTTGGGATGCTCTGTGTACAGTCACACGCCTCATCAGGATGCCTCAGCCAACGATGGATTTCATATGGATTCTGTCCCATAACATTATATTGCCTAATGACATCACTGCCTTAGTTTGTGTAAACACTCTGATGTGAGGACAGTGACAGAATCAACTACAACACATTTGTCAGAATGTACCCCGTCCTTAAGCAACAGGTGTTTAATAATCACATGTAAAGTCCCCCTCCCCGGCCTTTTCTTAACTGTTCTGGGGATGGACTCCAGGACCTCCCGCATGCTGGGTGAGTGCTCTGCCGCTGCACTGTATCCTCAGCCTGTCTCCCCCTTTTGCAAAATGGAACATACTGGAGGACACCTCGATGAGGTTTTTTCACTCAACAGCTTTTTCTGGATCTCGTTCTCTGCTAATAACGTAAAACAGAAATTGTCCTCTGGCTTCTAAAATATTTTCATAGTCCAGACCTATGGTTTGGACCTATTTTACCAGAATAAAAGTTTTCTTTTAGGTTGCTATGGCTAAGGTCTGTGGTGGGTGCCGTGCTCAGAACCCCTCCACCAAAACATCCAGCCTTAGTACTTTCACGTGGAAGGTCTCTCGTGTGCACCTGAGGCCTTGCTGCCTTCTTCAATTCTTTGAGTTCAGTCAGCTTCCAGTTCATTCTCTTAGATGCTCTGGGGGGCAGCTAGCTTGTTTCTGAAAATGACAGTTTGTGAGTTTTTTTCCTTTTTAATATTTATGCCTCTCAGTTTTTTTCTTGCTTTTGTGTTTCCTCCCCATTGGTTAGATCTAGAACACCTGTTTTAAAAGGATATTTCCAATTTTGATTTGCAATTACACACGGAGGGAAATAAAGAGAAGTACTGAACTAACTAAATAGTGACTGTGGAATTGGGAAGAAGGAAACAGTAGTTTGAAAGAAGCTTTCAAAACTATTTAACTCAGCCAAAGTGCCTGAAGTGTGTTTTGTGGGGCTGAGATAGGGCTGCACTGTGGAGACGGCGTATATGGGAGGGAGATTTGTTAAGTACGTGGAGGTTGAGCAAATATACAACCTGTTGAGAACCCTGAAAGCCAGGTGTCTCATAGAGTATATAGAAAGGGGAACACTGGAATAAATCCTGTGGTATTGGATTACAGTAGGGGGTAACTGTGAATTTGTGGGTTTTAATATACATAGATAAACTAATTTGGAAATTAATATATGTATATGCAAATATCTATGTACAAATATACATATATATATTTCCCAATTCTGTCCTGAAAGGCCCAAAGACAATGTCAACCCAGCCGTGATGAGCACACCAGTGCCCAGATCTGGGTTTCTAGATATCATTCTCGGTTAAAAAAAAAACAGACCTAAAACCTCTCTTCAGGAGATACACTTCTTGTGGTTGTAGAATCATAGGCTCAGAGATGCCTTTGTCTGTCCACTCATTTTACACATGAGGACACTGATCCCTGATTTTGCTCTGTTATTATGGTACTGGCTTTCTTGAAGTGACAAGAGAAAAACGATTGTCTAACATCAACACAGAGTATCTCACGGTGGCCTTCTGCAGATGGTGACAGGAATCATGTTTCCTTCTTTCCTGCTAGGAAAATCAAAGCACAGAGGCAGTGGGCCCCACATTAGGAAGAGAACCAAGAACTGAGCTCTCGTTTTCTGGCTTAGAAGGTAAAAGCCACTTGGTAGCACATGTGAAGGCTGCATGTCATGAATTCTTTTCATGCTAAACCAACTTCTTTTCTCTGAGCTACCAAGCAGATGGATCCAACACCCTGTTGGCACATGGATTCTGCACAACCATCAGGTGTGTTGGCTGGGGAAACTGCTAAAGATCCCAGTGCTCTCCAATGCTGAGAAGGCATTCCTCGGTTTGAAAAGGTCAGACGGGTACTTACATTTTTAATGATCAGTGGGTATCTTGTTACCCGCTGCATAGGCTTCAGTATAAAACTAGACAGTGGCATCCCTTTACAGCGAGGGTCCATTGCCAATCTCTGAAATAAGAGATTTGTTTAAATGTATCTCATAAATCTGAAAAGTCCAAAGTCAGTAACATCGACACTAATGTCAGTTAGGACTCTCCACCCATTATCTCATTTATCTGGATGATAGCTGCGGAACCTGGGATTGGAAGGGCCTGACCAGTTACAATGGTCCAAGATGAGGCAGTTTCCAGAGATAGAATGGGAGACCCCCAGGTATGACCCATACCCCAGGTTAGGCCCCGCCCTCTAGATTCAGCATATCTTCTGTGGGATACATAGTTCCCTGCTCAGAGAGGAGATTCTTCCAATATCTAAAACAACTTTACACAACTCCAGAGAAGAAGAAGAATCACAAGACCATACAGTCAGAGCAAAAATCTTCCTCAAGATCGTGAGTTCAAAGCCAGCCTCAGCAACTTAGTGAGGTCCTAAACAACTCATAGAGACCCTGTCTCTATATAAAATATAAAAAAGGGCCAGGGATGTTGCTCGGTGATTAAGGCCCCTGGTTCAATCCCTGGTACCAAGAAAACAAAACAAAAAACTCCCCCAAGTCCTGGAGAAGCAGAAGGGTTGAATCTCATCTAGATTTGCGCAGAGCCAGCCCGCATCTCTGGGCAGGGAGAGACCTGGGGGCCAAGACTCAGTCTCGGGGCCTGTGATTTGTCTCTGCCCTCAGATCCCGCCCCTTTCCTTGCACCACTCTGTCAATTCTGTGAGCCTGTCTGGTGGAAGAGAGTCTTTCTGCCCCCCAAATCAGAGCTTGTCTTCCAGTCACAGGGCTATACAGTGACTTATCTCCCCAAGACTCTGCTCTGGTTTCACGCTGTAGACACAGGCAGCTGCTGTGACCTGCTGGTGCGCTGAGGCCTGAGGACGGTCAGCATCTAGACCTGACATCCAGCCAAGGACACCTTTGTTCCCGGAAAGCCTCTCAGAAGGCAAAGGCGTGCCAAGCTCCTGCTGGAATGAGGCAGGAGAAATGAAGAGAGGAGGGACAACAAGCCCCTCACCCTGGGCTCTGTCAGCATTTCCCTGAAGTTCAAGTGCATCCAATGATGACCTCATCCTGCCTGTGCCCAGACCGGGCCGCTCAGCATCTCTTCCCATCTCTGGCTCATGGGATTGAATCCAGGGGCATGTAACCACTGAGCCCCACCCCAGCCTGTTTTATTTTATTTTTTAATATAGTTATCAATGGGCCTTTATTTATCTATCTATCTATTTATTTATTTATATTTGGTGCTGAGGATCGAACCCAGTGCCTCACACAAGGTAGGCAAGCGCTCTACCACTGAGCTACAACCCCAGGCCAGTTTTATTTTATATTTTTGAGTCAGAGCCTCTCTAAGTTGCTGAGGCTGGCTTTGAACCTGTGACCATCCTACCTCAGCCCCGAGTCACTGAGATTACAGGTGTGTGCCACCATGCCTGGCTCAGTCTACTTCTTATCCATTTCTCACCTTTGAGTGACCTCAGAATGTCTCATTTATTGGCTAGCAAATCTAAGCACTTAATGTAGAGGTTTAACACTGGGTTAGGAGAGGGAAGGAACAGGAAGTTTATGTGAGGCTATGACCAGGAAGAGGCCATACTTTTGCCTCACAGTGATGATTAACACAGAATTCTCAGGGAGGTGAGAAATGGCCTGCCCCCTGAAGGTATACCAGTTGTCCTTATTGTTATCTTGTTGTTTATTAATCATAATGAACCTGATTGATGGAAGTGACTGTTCTTGTCCTATTTTTCCCTTGGAGAAATGACTGGTGTGGCCAGCAGGGACCCACTCTGGTTAATGCCAAGTCTCAGGACTGCAAGCCCAGGGTGGGAACTTCTAGCAGTATTGGCACCACCTCCCCAAATGTCCCCTGAGGGACACGTGGCTCTTAGGACCCTGCCAGTCCCAAGGAGAGGTCATGGTGTCCCATGTTGTGACTTGTGTGGGTTGCTCAGAGCTTGAGCCCATCAAGCAGAGCGACTGAGAAGGAGAAGGGGCACCACTGGGACCCCTGGCAGGTGAGCTCTGCAGGCAAAGGGCAGAGGCCAGCAAGGAACTGAGGATGCTGTCATTAACAGAAGGGGAACCCGAGCCCTGCCAGGTCCAACGAATGAGGTGAAAGACTTAAACTGCCTTCAAAGAAACACCACTGATGCCCAGGAAGCAGATCTCTGAAGACGCTCAAAGCTTCCAGGCCCAGGGCTGAGCCCAGCCCCCTGGGTGACAGCCACACCTCTCTACAGCTGCAGCTACTGCCAATCTCTGATTGCTTGGCGAGACTTCAACCCCTGCTGGCCTTCACTGGGAAGATGTTTGCAGACCCTGATGAGCCCTCACACCCAGTGGCCCGTGATCCCCACCGTGGAGGCGCAGCCTGGCCCCCTTACTTTCACAAACTCCTTGAAGTCTGGGGCCTCGTCCGTCTTCTGCTGGATCAGGGCAGCCCCGTTGAGCTGGCAGCTGCAGAAGCGGATGTAGGGCTGCATGTGGGGCAGCTGGGCACTCAGGATGTCCCCGATCATCTTCACGGGCATCTTCTCCCCAGACATCTTCTTGCGGACTCTCAGCGCTCTGCACGGAAACACGGGAGGTGAGCCCCCGCCTTCGCGCTGCCTGACAGCACTGCGGCACACTTCTAGGTGGTACAGAAACGGAATGTGTGTGAGGGGCACAGACCCGAGGGCCACTAAAGCATCTATTTGGGAGACAAGGAACAGAGAAAGAAATGAGTCTAGCGCTAGGGAGAGGGGTCGCAGGGGCGTTTTCTTTGGCATGGTGGCTATTTGCCACCATTTTTCTTCTTGTGGTGAAATATGGAATCGTTTCCCTGATAACTTGGGCAGGACCCCTGAGTGGATGTCTTGCTTCAAGGATCATCTGTGGTGAAAGCCCAGGCTGGCGGGGCATGAGCAATGAGCCTACTTCTGGGGTCACTGCCACCCAAGGGAAGTTTCTGTCACCTGGGGACGGGGAGACATATTTTTAGACTACACAGAACATAATGAAGATGGTAATCAATTACCACAAAAAATAATCCCATTATGTTTGCCAAAATTAAGATTCATTATTAATCATAATGGTTTGAACAATCTCTGCCATTCTCTGCTTTATAGCTAATTTGAGGTTGACCAGATTAAGGGTTCTGAAGGGAGAAGTCTTTTACTATAGCAACGGGCCAATGAGCCCAAACAATCTACATCCCAAAAGCCAAGAAGAGGCGTTCGAAGGACTGGGAAGCATTTGTTCTGGGGTCCACCTGTAAAGTGAGTGTTCAAAGCCAAGACTGCCGGGACTGTGACATCCATCCTTCCAACCTAATACGTGAACTCTTAAGACAGCTTCTGGAAGATGCTGAGCTTCTATATGGCAAGGAGAGCAATGTACTCCAAGGTCAGGCCACACCACACAAGGCCATGAATTGTTCAGCTGCCCGAGTGACCACAGGGTGGATGGAACAGAATGGTGGGGTAGGGTTGTCATATGAGGCTGGGAGGATGTCCCTATGCATTCCTTTGGCCACTTCCATGGTCATATTGGAGCAGCCCTTGAGATATGGGTAGGGCTATATAATTCCAAGGAGGCTCTGCAGTTAACATTAGGCTTTAAAAATTTGGGATCACTTTCTTTTCTTCCTTGCACATTTTTTGGGTAAAGAAAATTTCCTAGGCCCGAGAAAACTAAGGAATGAGACTTTAGGGAAAATAAATTATATGAGCAATCAGTAATTCCACCTCCAGTGGATGTCCCCATGGGAGAGGTCAGCACTGGCTGCCGGGGTGTGAGAAGTAGCAGCTTGGCGTCCTCAGGATAGCCCAAAGGACACTGCCCGTTGAGGGGCTGGTGTGGAATCTCCTTGCAGAAATTTGCTTAAGGCTGATATCACTAACAATTTCGGGGGAGAAGTGTCCCAAAACCATGTTATAAAGTTGCTGTGAATAGAAGCAGGAAGCAATTCCATCATTTTTTTATGAGGAGCAGTTTTTCTACAAGGTAATGAAAGTATTTTCACCCTCTCCCTCCTTTTTGAATGGTGGGGGAGAAAAAAAGAAACTTCATAGGCACATTGTCATTGTCTTGTGTATACAGGGCTGGTTGCTAGGCTCTGGAGGCCCATGTGGGTTGACCGAGTTGTCCAACCAGGAGGCAGGCCTGAAATCAAGACTGGACTTTCCAGGGCCTTGCCCCTGTGGGGTTCAGTTGCCTTACAGGCTTATGAGGAGTGGAGGGTGCTATCAGGCCTAGGGTCATATGACTCTGTGGTTGTAGCCACAGTCCTCAGAGCATCTGACCTTTGATGAGCTGATCTGCCATTTCATGAAAAAGTTTAGAGATGAGAAGTGTGAGGGGCCAAGGGAATGGATAAGCTGATCAACACCTCACAGAGCACTGGATGTTTGCAGAATGCATGAATGTGCCTAAGCCTCCGGGCTGTGCATGATCAAGAGCTAACATGGATTCATGCTTTCTATGTGCTAAACACTTTTAATAAATGCATACTACTGCTATAGTTTGGATTAAAAGAAGTCCCCAAAAGGCCCATCTGTTGGAGGCTTGGCTCTCAGCCTGTGGTGCTACTGGGACGAAGTGCGGCCTCATTGGAGGAAGTTGGGTCATTGGTGGCACGTCCTTGAAGGAAATATTGGGACCCCACCCACTTTCTGTCTCTCTTTGCTTCCCAGCTCTCTTGACCTCTCACTGTGACATGCTGCCTCACAAGCCCACAAGCAACGAGACCAGCTGACGGTGAACTGGAACCTCCACACTGTGAGCCAAAGTAAACCTTTCCTCTTTTTAAGCTGATTATCTCGGGTGTTTACATTAGAGTAATGCAAAACTGACGAATAATTATTAGCCACACTTCCTGTTGGGGAAACCAAGGCACGTGGAAATGGAGTGACTGGACCAAGTCACACAGTGAACACGTGACAGAGGCATCCCTGGAACCCAGGTCTGACCCCAGAGCCTGTGGTGGGGACAACTCCCTCCTCCCCGTGTGGCCCCCGTCTCTCCACGCCACGCTCAGCCTCTGGACCTCCCTTCTCGCTTCCTTCCCCCATCTCCACACAGTCTCCTCTTGTCCACACCCAGCCCGACGATCCCCTTTCCCCTCCTTCCTCCCAGCCAGTCGCAGCCACTAAGATATGGTTTCAGATTTTATTGTTCTTTCATTTTCTGCTTGAACGAAATAAAGTGCTGTCATTTTTCTTAAGTTCAAAAGAAGGTGATTCAAAGACTTTAAGAAAGCCACTTTGGGGGGGAGAAGTTCTTGGGCTTCTTTTTTCCCCTTTTTCTATTTTCCTTCCTTCCTTCCTTTTTTCTTTTCCTTTCTTTTCCTTCTATCAAGGGGGCAGGAAAGAGTCTATTTTTTCTCCTTTTTTTAACTTGTCCCTTGCAGTGACACGTGACGGTAGAGTGTATCTGAGACACCAAACATATATGGAGAATAACTTCCCCTCCTGGGGCTGTGCCTGACGTGGAGTCACTGGTCACGGATTCCTATGCACGTAGGAAACTCTCGTCCAGTTCATTCTACCGTCTTACCTATTTCCACCCCTCCCAAGACTCCTTGATTCAAAAAAATAGGTCCAATACTGCCCCCACCCACCTTCGCTTCCCTTCTGCTGTCTCCCTGACCCCTGCCTGAGGGGCCCGGGCTCTGGATTCAAAAAGGTTCTGGCTCTTTCTGCACTGCCCGGCTTTCTAGAGGCACGTTCCTCACCAGGAAGAGGCCGACCTCTCTCTAATGTCCACTAGAGGCTTCGGTGGCAGGAGGTGCACATTTTGCAGGTGACCTCCTTTTATTTTCCTTTTACAGCTTATTAGTTAGTGATCTGCTGACTCTGGTGGTTCCCCTACATACCAGCAGCGTGCCCTGCGCCTTGGATCAGGAATGGCAGCTGTGAGGCAGCTTGCTGGTGGCTTTCCAGGAATGTCACCTTAAGTCCCCTCTATCCCAATGGCCTCCCTCTTGCAGGCTGCCGGAGCCTTCCGAGCTCCCCATCATCAGGCTGCTCCGTCGCATGGAGAAATCACATCCATGCGGCCAAGCGAGTGAGCAAAACGTCCGCTGTGCGATTCACCACGCAGGTGCTCACCCTAGAGTCCTCCCAAGTTCTCTGGGTTTGAAGTAGTTCATCATAAAATGTTGGAATGAATAAAAAAAAAAAAAAAACAGATCCTCAGAAGGCTCCTGTTAAATACAAGATTTATCTAAAAGAAGAAAACTTAAGCCAGTGAATCCAAACTAGCTAGTCAGTCAATCAGGAGAGGGCGACAGGGAGCGGGGGGCCTTGGGATGGGAGAGGGGCCAGGAGCACCCAGCTCACTCTCCCAGGATGGGCAGTGTGCCAGTTGTACACAGGACCTCCTGGCTCCTCTCAATGGCCCTGCATCCTAGACAAAACAGGGACGGTGGCTGCAGCCACACAGGGGTTAGAACACAGGATGGGCGTTACTCTTCCAGGTAGTTGCCCTAAAGAAGTTAGAAGGTTCTGGAGTCCTGGCAAAAACTTAGGCCATGTGACTCCTGCTTCACTGGGGGAAGTGATTGAGTGGAATCCCCAGTTTTGGGGACCTTGAGTGCCACACATAGAACAGCCCACCTCCTGTGTGACTTTGGGAAATTCAATCAGCCTCTCTGAGTTTTCTTTCCCTCGCCGTCACAGTACTCTCAGTCCCCACTTTAGGGCCATTAGGCAGGTCAGAGCTAACAGGCCTGGCCCCTACAGAGCTCATTTGTTTAAAACCATGTGTCTCCAGAATTTTAAGATTAGTACTTGAAGGCTCATGATTAATCAACACCTTCCACCCAGGTGACGGCAAGGGTCAGTACTGAGTGGGACCTTTGAGAGGGGGAGCCTAGTGCCAGGTAATGAGGTCACTGGAGGGAATCGATACAGCTCTCACAGGACCTGGGTCAGTTTCCCCCAGAACGAGCTGTTACAAAAGAGCGAGACTGGCCCCTGAATCCCTCTGGCTTCCTGTCTCACTGTGTGTTCTCTCCTCGCACACTTCTGTCACTGTGATACCTCCCACCATGAGGCCCTCCTCATTAGAGGCCAAACAGAAGAGACCACCAGATCTGAGATTTTCAGCTTCCAAAACTGTGAGCTAAATAAGCCTTTTTTAAAAAAAATAATAAGGTTTCCAGCTTCAGGTTTTTTGTTATAGCAATAGAATACAGACTAATGAAATCCCCATTTTACATATGAGAACACCAAGGCCCAGGGACTTTAAGCAACCTGCCCAAAGACACACAGCCAGAGGCAATAGCAAGATGTGAGCACAAGTCTGAGGTCCATCCTAAGCTTGGAACACTTCTACAGCATCCTTCTGGAGGAGGAAAACAGAAAGACTTTCTCTAAGAGCCTATTTGTGTTCCAGAGCAGAGTGAGCAGACATTCTGTACCTTTATTCATGTCACCTGCCCACTCCTCCCTGCTCATCCCTTCATCCACTGCCAAACACATACCCAAGAAAGTGGGGCCCTGAGATTACTTTACGAAAACAATGTGGGGACAACATTTAGGAACTAGTGGCTTCCCGATGACCTGAATATGGAGATGGGGTATGGACATGGGCTTTGGGGTGGCTGCACTTCCCTCTCAGGCCTGGAGAGGGGGCCCTTGTTCCCAGCCGCTCTATCACAGGCCCCAGAGGTCAGGACCTAATCTGTGTTCTCGAAAGTTCTAATGAGGACCTGATGGACACACATTTTGGTTTTCTAGGTTTTGGGGTGGGGGGACCTTTGTGATGATCTGACCCAGTCCTTTCACTTTATAGATGAAGAAACCAAGGCTCACAGAGGAAGAGCAGCAAGACTGTATCCCAACCCAGGTCCCTCGACTCCTAGCCCCACAGCTGCCTCTGCAGACTAGAATAGGACTAAAATACAAATGGCCCTAGGCCAGCTGCTCAAGGCCACCCGAGGAACTCTGGTCATGTTAGACAGGGGACAGTTGCACCCTTTTCCATGTGCAGGAGCCAACAATGTCTCGAGAGAGCATCATTACCCCCTGGGAACCTGGGTCTCAGGGAAGGCCTTGGGGCTGGGGACTGTCTGGATGCAGCTGGCCAGTGGTCAGCAGTCAGAACTGGCCTAGTTCTGAACATTCTGGACCCACAGGCAAAGCAGGACCGAGGCTGCCTTGGCGACTTACTCCCCGCAATGACTATGAAGCGTTTTTCCGGAAAGCATGAGGGTGGGCACAGAGGGCAATGGCGCCTGTGAGTAGTAACAAGCAAAAAAGGCAGAGTGACACAGGGTGGCATGCATGAGGGACACACGAGGGGACCACACAGAAGTGCTAGTGTGCGGGCCGGAGGCGGCGCGGCTGGGGATTAGAGAAGAAAGGCTTACTTCAGAAGTTTGATATTACACATAATCAGCTCCTTCCAGTTAACAAAAATCATAGCAACCTCTTTTTCTGTCAGCAGCTCAGACTCCATCAGGGGTTTCTGAAAGATCTACAGGTGCAGAAAATGAAGCGGTTCAGAAAGCAAACAGTTAGCTCAAAACTTGCACACACTCGCGCACACGGGTCTGTCTGGAGCCAGGGAAGGGGCTGTGGTTTGCAGCCGACCGGAAGGTCCACCTTCCTGCAGAGTGCTGCAGCAGATGGAGGGGTGCCCGGCCAGTCTGCGGTCTTACAAAGGAGGGAGGGTGAGGTTTAGCCCCACCGGTAAGGAGCTGGGGGCCAGCACAACGTCATGTAGGCAGGCAGAGCTGTCTCGCCTGCCCACCGCAAGGAGATGGCCCTGTGGGGAAGTGGGGCTTACGATGGCTGTGGCGCAGGCCTGTCCTTCACACTCCCGTGCAGCATCTGCTGCTTCCCACAGGAGCTTGGGGCATTGGGAGGGAAGCAACCTCAGGCAGTAGCTCTGCTAATAAGCAGGGCTACTTGTGGGGCCCTCAGGGACGAACCTCATTGCTCTTTCCCCAGCGTCCTGGGCTGGCCTCAGACACAGCCAGCACTTCCAGGAGGTGGTCACAAGGGAGTGACCTTGCCCTTCCCAAGTTCTGTGTGTTTAGGTAACTTGCAGTAAATCACGGCTCTCGGTACCCCCTATCCACGAGGAGGTCCTTACCTACTGTCTGGAGTAGGGGGCACTTCTGAAGTTGTTTGGGGATGGGTACCGCCTGTCTTTGGAATAAACTTGCCCAGGCTGCCTGTGATCCCTGGGGACACTATTCTGAATGAATCCTTAAGCCTATGTTGAGCCAGGCATATCTCAGGCCAGTACCCATGATGTGCATCTTGCCTACTGCTCAAAGGTGCCATATCTAAGGGGGTGACACTTACATCCTGGACACCTTAGACAGTATAACAGCAGTCCAATGTCTTGAGAAAAGGCAACTCTTTTGAAGTTGTGCCACTGCCTATATGCTCATGCAGCCTTGGGGGCCTGCAATCCTCCCTGTACTCCTTCAATACTGAGTACCCAGCTGTGTCTCTCCAGGATGCTAGGACTACCAGATGAGATGGTTTTACCACATTTGATGACAGGGGTAGGGTTCCAAACTATTATGGCATGTTTCAAATCCCCATTTCCTGCAATGGTGTCTTCCTATGTGTAGGACAAGAGGCCACACTTTCAACAGGGGTGCCCAACTCTGTATCGCCCCATCTTTCCAGATGGGCTGGCTAAGACTCTTCTGGGAGGACATACAAGTTGAGGCATCATCCCAGGCCCGGGAGACTCACAGAGGCCTGGAAGGACACATCTTCATGCTCAGCAACAGATTTTTATCAGGGGTTTATGGAGCACAAGGAACACCTCAAGAGACTAGCCAGATGGGCACCATCTTCAGATGCCAGCTCTGAGGGCCAGGAGTGACATGGCTGGCTCTATGACATCAACTAGTTGGTGGCTGAGCTGCAACTCCTCTTACTACAGCCAGGACTCCCAACTCACAGTTCACAAGCCCCCTTCCACCAGCGCCTCTGGGACTTGTATGCCCTCGCATGAGCAAGCTCTGCCCCTCTGTGGGTGTGACTCAGTCAGTCCCAGTGAGAGACGGTTCCTCCCGGGTGAGATCTCCTGGCATTTGCTATCCATGTGCTCCTCACAAATCAGAAGGTGTCCCAGGATCAGAATCGGGACACAGGCTTCCTCAGCAGGGCCCCCGCCTCCTGCAGTGCCCCCCCCACCCGCCACCATCCCCAGTTGCCAGTACCTCTGTGACCAGCTGGAGGTCATTCACGTAGTTCTCCTCTGTGACAATGAGTTCGTGGATATACCCTTGTCGCTTTCGTTCAGTGGGGGTCAACATATCCAAGAGATGTAAGTCTGAACACCCTGGAAGACACAACCGTTTGGGACCATTTAGTCAGACTCTGGAGCAACTCACAGGGCTTTGCAATGACTATGCTCTGGGCCTGTGGCTGAGCCCCTGTGGCCTCATTCCAGTCGGGCAGGGCTGGGGGTTGAACTGCACCCTCCTAAGATATGCTGAAGCCCTAACCCCTGCCCCATTGAATGTGACCTTATTTGGAAAGAGGGTCTTTACCAATGCCATCAAGTGAAGATGGGGACATTCACAATGAGGGTGGACCCTGATCCTGTATGGCTGCTGTCCTTATGAGAGGTTAGAGAGACACAGAAGGAAGGCCACCTGACCATAGCCCACAGAGGCAGAGATCCAGTGATGCATCTAGAAGCCAAGGAGTGCCAGGGGCTGCCAGAGCCACAAGAGGCCAGAGCAGATGTTCCCTGGAGCCTTCGGAGGGAGCCTGGCCCAGCCCACACCTTGACTCAGATTTCTGGCCTCCAGAGCTGTGAGACCATAAATTCCAGCTGTTTTAAGCCACTGGTTTGTGGTCATTTGTTATGCCACCCCTAGAAAACAAACACTCTGATTCATCAAAAAATAAGAAAATAACCTTAAAAGACCTAGTAACAATTGGCCAACATTTCTATGCCAGGTACTATCCTAACAGCTCTACGCTGATAACTTCCTTTAATGTTCCTGCGTCATTCTAGAATCGCTCCCATTATACAGATGAGGAAACCGAGGTGCAGGGAGGTGGGCTCTCCCTGACTCTCAGCTCGGCAGTGGTGAAGACTGAGACTTTAGGACCAGAGGCTGTAGTCTACTCCAGGTGGCACTACTGGCCCCCAGCAGAGGGGGGCCTGTGGCTCTACCAAGGTTGGTTTTTGGAGGGTGAGGTGGCTCTGTTGAGCTCCGAATGGATCTGGGGGCCTCATGGATCTGATGTGAGATGTACTCATATAGAAATGAGAAAACTCTACTGGCCAAGGCCACTGCCCAGTCCTGTAGAAGCTAAGCAGCAAGTCTGCAGACAGGAACAACCTCCAGCGGCCGACTGCTCCGTGCAGGGCCTGTGCTGAGGCCAAGGCTACTGAAGGGCATGAGCTACTCCACTGTCCTGAGGTGGGCCAGCCCTGGACTCGGCTCACTTAGCTTATTTGGGGTTGTGTCTGCTTGGAACATTAACTGCTTATGGGTAGAGGCTGCCCCAACCCCAGGTGCACAGCATTGAGGGTCAGGGAAGCTTGGTTTTAGGGAATACCCTGCATGCGGGTCTGGGCCCACCTCTTTCAGGCCAGTAGTCACCCACTTCTTTTTATTAAAGAGTCTGTATGGATCACAGAGGTCGCATGTGTGACCAGAGATTGAGATAGAGTGGGAGGTGTCTGGATGTAGGTGGGGAGTGGCCAGCTGAGTCCCATTCACTTTCATTTCTCATCCTCTCTACTCCCCATAGGGGTAGACACGAGAAAGTCCTTGCCTGAGGCCAGCGGTTCTCAAAGTGTGGTCCAGGGACCAGCAGCATCTGCATCCCTGGGAGCTTGTTAGAGATGCAAATGACCAGGCCCCTGCCTAGTGGACTACCTCAAGGTGGGGCCTGGGAAATCTGATTTAACAAGCTTTCCAGGTCATTGTTTTAAGTACACCAAAGTTTGAGAAGCCTGCTCTGGTTTACCAAGGGTTCGTGAGAGATTCCAACTCCCCCAACGGGCTTTTCTGGACTCAGGACTGAGCTAGTCTATATGCTGGAAGCTTCTGCAAATTGAACAACCCCTCTAAGGCAAATGATACCAGGAACTTCTTGGCAAATGCTCTTGCCTCTGGGGCTGGCTCAGTCCTTGCTTTCTGTTCACTCCCTGGCCAATGGCCCTTTGGGGATGCACAGCCTCCCTCATTGGGCAGGAACATCCCAGGACAGGCAGCAGGAATGAGCCATCATTATGTTAACACCCTCCACGCCCTTCCATCCCAGACCTCACTCAGAGCCAACTCTGGACCTTTGCAGATGCCTCTAAATTTGGGCCCTCTCCCTGGCCGCCTGTGTGACCCACCTCTTCCTGTCTGGGGTTCTGATTGTCTTTTATGAGAACAGCTGCTTTGGTAGCAAACTCTCAGGTAGGAAGCTGGCCTGACTGCTCGTTCCTTCAGTTCAGCCAGCTCTGCCCAGCTGCTGTGTGAGCTCTGGGTTAGAGGAACTTAAGGGAACTCCCTAATTTCTTTCTTGGGGAAGGCACCCAGGAAATACTCCTGAATTGGAGTCAGGGGACGGGGGACATGTACAGTTCTTGCACTCGTTTACCCCTCTCCTGTGAATGAGTCAAAGGGCCCAGGAGTCAGGGCATTTCTATTCAAGGGTGAAATTCAGCTCAAGAATTTGGGGTGTGCACCTCAAGGAAGCAGTTTGCTGGGGAGTTTTCAGGATGGTCCCTCCCCCAGGGATATCAGAATGCTGACACGGAGAGGGAATTCGAGATTTACCCTGCAAACACTGTGAGTGGCACATGCAGTGACGCAAACATCAGGACACTAGCTAGCCTGGTCTCCCAAACGTTCCTTTAGATCATAGTTCTCTTAGAGATGGGTGCTATGAGCTCTTATGTACTACACACGTAACACACATGCACATTTTGAGCACCATTTTATCAGGTTCGTAGATCTTATGCATTCTTCCCACAGACACTTCCTGATGTGCCACCATGAGTCTGAAACCAGCTGTGTGGGGTGCTGGGATTCAGGACAGAAGAGAGATGCCTGCCCTCTGGAGCACAGCTCACAACCCTGGAGTGCAGTGGTCCCCAGCTGGAGATGGTACTGCCCCCATCAGGTTGAAGTTGGTACTACCGCCCCTCCACCAGGTTAAGGGCTGAACTGCACCCCCACTCCCCAGGGTGGCCATTGTGTTCCTGTTGTCCTAATGACAAGATGGTTGCTGGAATTCGGCAGGCTGGAACAGGACAGGAAATTCTGCAATATACAGGACAGGATATCACCCACCCTACATGCTAATAGACTCCATCGGGAAACACTGACATTATTAGAAACTGACAACCAGACCGGGATTGCACCCACAAGGAGGAGTGAGGGACTGGAAGACACACCTAGGAAAACCAAGGACCTGTCGGGCATAAAGACCACTGACTTGCTTTGGATCTCGGTTCTTCTAGGTCTTAAGTTTTACATGGTTCAAGTTCTGAAAAAGCTCAGAGCCTGGGCAACTGCAGCAGGTCCAGAGAAAATTTGGGCCACTGGCCCCAGAATCCTAGTTACCTGGGGCCAATTCAGGCTGGACAGGAGGGCTGCGCACAGCCTCTGGCCTGGGACAGTTCTGGTCGTCCAATCTACACACCTGCAGGGTCCAAGTTGGAGCTGGTGGAACTGAGAGGTCTTGGGGTGCTGGGTGGGTCTGGCCTGCTTGCCCAATGAATTCCACCCTATGCAGGTCTGACTGCCAGTCTTTCTGGAGACAGGGGGATGGCCCTGATGGCTTCTCCAGGACCCAGAGCACAATGAAGGCAAAGATTTTGTGGGGAGATTCTTCTCCACATCACACAGCAAGCAACCATGTTGACTTGGAATGACCTTTTTGACCACTGAACTGACCCATGTGATGCTGTTTAAAAAATAATTCTTGTTGGTATATGTCAAAATACATTCAGCAGTCATGTAAAACTAAAAAGAACAAATGAAAAATTAAAAAAATTCTGGCTGCTGAATGCCAGACCAAGAGAACCATGAAAGTCTTGAAAAAGGCATTTTGAACTTCAAAATATCTTTCTTTTGAAAATTTAACATTTAGAAAAACAAGAGAGTCAAATTAAAAAAAAAAAAGTTTTCTTTAGGGGTGGAGAGAAGTGGCCCTTCTCTCCTCTGGGTACCAGGATAAAAACATGGCTTGCTGGCCACCCCCTTGCCCAGCGAAAAGCAAGAGGATCGAGGATGGCAAAGGATTTTCCACTGAGGTCAAGGAGGGATGAAGGAGTCTCAGCTGAAACCCACTTACAGCTGAAATAATACTGCAAATGACTGTGAGCAGTTAAAAATGTTCCCCCATTATAGCCCACATAAAATTCCTAATATATGTGCCTAGATTTTGTATCATTTTCTTAAACACATTTACAAAATAGAACTGTGATACCTTTGGAAGACTGGAGAAACGTATGGACAAAATCTAATACAAAAAAGGATCACATTGAAACCCATGTGAATACAATATTAATTATACCCAAAGAGCAACCTAAATCTTTTCACTACAAAAGTAATACATGAACACAAGCACAATGTAGTTTCAAACTATGCCAAAGCATTTAGGGTAGAAAGTGCCCGTGACTCCCCTCCTCACCTCTAACCTATCTTTCCCAATAAGGAGCATAATTTTGAAAACCAAATTGGCCCCAGAGCAAGCTGGCCATTGGGCAAAGCAAATAAACAGGCCTGGTTCTTGCTATGAAAGAGCCAAAACATATAATGAGTTGGTCAATAAATATTTATTAAGTTCCTATGAAGTCCAAGAGACACAGAAATAAGAAAGAGACTGTTGTTGTCCTCAGAGAAACTCATGACCTTGGGGAAGACTTGATAGGAAAATTTAAAATAGCAAGAAAGGCCACTGAGTTGTGCTGAGGGAGGGCAGGAACTCAGTGAAGTGGGACACTCTGCTCTGAGAGGGAGGCTCCTTGGGGGAGGCCCTCCTTGTGCTGGGCTTCCCTAGTGCCGAGGGTGAGGCTATGTGGTGAAGCCCAGGTGGCAGGTGAACACAGAGATCCTATGGGAGTCAAGGGGGCAGCAGGCAAGGGCAAAGTTATACAGTCATGATGCCAGGACAAGATTCTGCAGGGAGCAGGGTGTGGTGGCAGGAGGAGGGATGAAGCCTGCAATCCCAGTAGCTCAGGAGCCTGAGAAGGGAGGATCTCAAGTTCAAGGCCAGCCTCAGCAACTTAGTGAGACCTTGTGTCAAACTAAAAAAACAAAAAAGGGCTGGGGATGTAGCTTGATGGTGAAGTACCTTGGGGCGCAATCCCCCAGTGTG